AGTAACTGTTGTAGGCTTTATGTAAAGAGATTTGTTGTGTTGTTTTATAGTTAATTCATCGTAGATTTAAATGGTTTTTAAAATAAAATAAAGTATTGTTCCGACTTAACATTTTTAAATTAAGATACAAAATATTTTGCTTACCATGCAAAAAGCAAGCGTTGAGAAATAAATTGTAGCTGACATCAACATACATAGAAATTTTTTAAAGACACTTCAGAACAAATATATACACAAGGTAGTAAAGATCAGTTAGAAAATTATAAATCGAATTGAAAAATCGCATTTATAACATTAATATATCTTTAAGAATATCTTAGGGAATTTCAATTGGTAAGCATGCGGAAGGGTCCAAAGCCTCAACAAGCCATCAGGCGGCCCAAATATCTGGGCTTTGACACTTCGAATGTGGATGCAACTTGTCGAATTCCGCTGGGAATGCGTGACTATGGATTCTTAAAAGTTACGAACACAAGTACTCCGTACATAAAGAAAGATTCTCCAATTGATTCCAAATCGTTGCTGGAGCGGCTAAAGTATAAGGAAGAAAAAATAAATGCTTTCGGGTCGAGCAAGTCATCAAGCGACGGTCTAGATTCAGTAATCTCCAACAATGATGAGAAGGACGAAGCCAAATTGGGAATGTCGTTTGAAATGAAGCGAAAGCTCTTTAATACGGCTGAATTTACAATAACGAAAGGCAAGAAAACTGGCGATATGTATCATCCACGAGTTGATTACAAGTTACCCAAGTATTCCACCACCCGAGACTCCCAGATGCATGCGTTGTTGGAGATGGAGGAGTTTTGTAATGCCATGAATATTAAGATAACTAAAGGCTTTGGTCATTAGATTCTATACTCTTACCAAATTTTTAATCTTATAGCCTCAGTAAATAACGTTATTTAAATTAAATAGTTGTAATATTTGCCTTTCGAATCACTCTTTTAATTTTCTAGATATCCTGGGAGTCTACAACGCTTGGCTTTTGGTACACTGAGCTTCTGGAGCGCAATGCCCAATTTCGTACTTGGATTTCGACGGATCGTCCAAAGGTGAGCCCATCCTTCCCTCGCATTTGCCTGTCAACCTGTCCTGTACGCTTGACATAAGCCTACGGAAAATATAGCTTTGGCAGGCAGACTCGCTAATTGCTTGATACATCTAGCTGAAGCGCGCATTTTGTTTTCCCTTTAACCTTTTCTCTTTTACATTTTGCGCAAATCCGTCAACAAAAAGGTGTTTTGGATGACGGGTTTCTTTAATCCGCAAGGTTTCCTGACCGCCATGCGACAAGTGAGTTTAAGAAAAAAGTGCAACTTTGTGTTTGTTATGGCAACCTATTTAAGTTCTTAAATAACGAGTAAATGAATATATCTAAGTAGTTCAGAGGACTGTGGTAGATTTTCACTTAAGCTGGATTATAAATTATTTCTCGTCTCTGGGGATTCCTGGCAATAGTTAGTGCATACGTTGCTAGTGTGTTGCCCAAGGGAAACGATAAACTTTTCATTGTAAAAACGTGTCTGTGATGCAACTTAAAGAGTTTAACTTAGTGATACCCTGTAAAACATTTTCAATTATTCTGTAATGTGTTATGGAACCTACCGATTACTAAGTATGAAAAATTCATAAAATCTGGAAACATCAAGCTATGGCAATAGATTCTTTTAAAATATAGAAAATATGTAAAGCTAGCATTGAAGGCGATTCTATAATACTTATGGCTTTTCTCGCTCAAAATTTTCATATCACTTATAATTGAACTTAACTGTAAATACCTAACATTTCCATCTCAGCTAGGATAACAAACTTTAGTTTGCTAACAATTTATTGACATTTTATATGTGTCGAGTTATTCACACATTCGTGCAATTATTTTTCTTTCTCGCAACAACTTGTGCTGCTTATCGAACTGCTTTTACTGCTGCTGCTGGCTGCTATTGCTGCTTTGGCATTGCGTATACGGCGCGTGTGACGGTGGAAATTGTCAGGAGGTAACACGAGCGCACAAAGGTTGGGCACTCGACTCTGTTGTGCTGCAGAATCAAATAACTCGCTACAACAAGGAGGACATTACCGAGTATCCCACTGAGGGTGTATACGTGCATGGACTGTTCCTCGAAGGTAAGTATCGGCCTGACCTGCCCGCCCTACCTCAACTTCTTTGCATTCAAGTGCCAGACCGTTGCCAATTGCTAGTTCACATTCAGTTTCTCGTTTGTATTTGTATATATTGCACAAAAGGTGGCCGATTTTTCTATATTCATATGTTTTCTTTACAAAGCTATCTTTTTCCTTAGTCCTTGCTCGTTGGGATATGTTCGTGCCCTTTTGTTGACCCTACAAATTGGACCGGGTTTGCTTGTGCGGTTTCTTTCGGTTTTCTCTGGCCTCACTAACCTCTGTGTGATAATTTGAATGTTAAGGGAATAATTTGCGTGTGCTCTGTAGCTCTTTGTTGTGGTTGGCTCTTGATTAGCTAGGAGGTCGGTGGACACAGAATTCGTGGAACTCTAAGGCGCAACTAAACGAAAATTTTGTGAATATTTGTCACATATTTTATAAATAAATTGTTTCGAAAGCTAGTATTTAAAACTCGTTAAAACCATTTACAAAGGTTTTTGTGGTGGTCACATAATTTTCCAACAATATTTTTATTTGTATTAAAAATTCAATTTTTTTTTATAATCACCGAGCAAGCCCAGTCCAGCCTCTATCAGCCGTCGTTACGAATTATTGAAAACTCCTTGAGCACACAATGCTTTGTATTCAATGGATTTAACTGCTACATACAATTGCCTTTCATTGTTATTTGAAGAGATAGATAAATGCCAACCAGCAATTCTATAACGGTGTCTACGTGACGCAATATCCCAAAATCGAACTAGGCAATAAAAACGCATGCATGCAAAGAGTGTCAACAAGAGTCCAAGTGCAGCGTCCAAATTAAATTACGTATACGCAGCGTAGCACACATAAATTTAGACTTATATATATTTATAAAGAAAAGTTAGCTTGCACTAAGATGTGAGACCAGGTGAAATTATTTGTGTTGGGGGCTTCTGTAGGCTTTGTGTCTGTCTATTAAAACACGATAAGTTTGGCCCCAAGCTAATAAAACGGAAAGCAACACGCGTGGGCCCGAATTGTAAGGAAAATTTACGAGGCCAACTTATTTACATGGTGACAATTAGAGCGAATTTGTTAACCATAGCTTAAACCAGAGCCCCTTACTTGAATTTTATTGCAGGCGCTTCGCTGGATCGACGCAGCGGCAAGCTGATTGAATCCAAAATGAAGGTGCTATATGAACAAATGCCGGTCATATATATATATGCAATCAACACGACTGCCGGCAAGGATCCCAAGCTGTATGAGTGTCCGATTTATAGAAAACCACAGCGTACGGACCTCAAGTACGTGGGCTCCATTGATTTTGAGACCGACTTCAATCCCAAGCACTGGACTCTGCGCGGCGTTGCGCTACTCTGTGACATCAAATAAGCACAACAAATTTCATACACACAAGCCCTCACACGCCCACTTGTTATTTTGTTTGCTTGGCTGTCAACTGTTTTGTACGTGCAGCTTGGCACTCGGAGTGGCCCTGTGATAATTATCGTTTTCGGGAGTCCTATTCTCGAAGGGGGCTACCCTTGTCAGCTCTGTTAGCTTTGTCTGTGGAGCGTCTCGTGCAGTGCGTCACAGATACTACAAGTTTATTAATTATGTCCTCGAGCTATTCAAGTGGCACGTTCATCGTACACCATAATTAGCTGTTTGACCCATGTATAGAATTTCACTTAAGTGTTTTGTGCTCTGAAAATAAAGTATTCCTCCACTTTCTCTAGTAAAATTAAATTAATTTTATTTCGGGAGAGCCCTGGGCGCATAGAACCGTTGGTAAGAAACATCAAACGAAAAGCTGTTACTCAACTTCAGGGAAGCAATCATTAAATATTCCCCCAACTTTTATTAAATATCAAGACTTTTTGAATTGAATGCCATTTCAATATTTTTGTATTTTTTATTCACTGGTTTCATTAAAATAAATACATACAAGTATAATCCATGTAATATATATATATATTTAAATATAATATTGAATATCGAATCATTTGATTCCATTTGTGTTTTGGTTTTTCATTGATTCAGCTTTATGAGAAAATCATTTATTTACATATAGAAAATAAAATTTGTTCACATAAAATTCATTAATGTACATAAGTTGTTCGTGTATGTGAGTGTATAAGTGTGTTGATTCGATCCATTGAATACGCATACCTTGTATATATATAGTAGTATATATCATGTATATGTAGACAGTTTAATTGGGATTCAGTTTCCATATGCATAAATTAATTAGGTTAGGATTGAGTACCTCATCTACATTAAAATCGTTAGTAGTATTTATATGATTTGCAACCATTTTGTTTATTAACTTTCCTATAACTTTCATTTAGCTAAATAAAAAGTATGCACTGAACTGATATATGTAGATATCTTTACCGTTAGTTACTTTCAGCTGCGACAGTAACATTTAATTGTTTGAGATGTTTTAATGTTTAATACTATTGAATGTTTTGAAAATTGTATACAATATTTTGAGCATCTGAACTTAATAAAAATTTGCATTCCGCCCGCGGATGATTCTTAACTGTTTGTAAATATATGTTAATAAAGCTTAGCAAGAGCAAAAGAATACATAAAAATTATAAATTTATTAATAGCTTAAAATGCAGAAATATTGAATTTTAAATAGAAGCTTGCATGCACACATACATTATACAGTGGACCTAAATGTATATATGTAATGAATCATGCATATTTCATTTTAAAAGATTTGCTTTTAAAAACTACACGTGTTTTTATATTTTTTTCATATGTTTTTATATTTTAATAAACAACATTATTTTGGCTTTTAACCAAATCCATATACATATATATATATATATATTTATTTATTTATATTTGATGTAATATTTTTATTTGTCTTTTTTTACTTTTTTGCTAGTCAATAAATATAAGTTTGTGAGTATAATTATTTTAGTGTTTAGGGAACGTTCGTTTCGAGTTGTTTGTTGCATATGCATCTGAGAAAGAGGTAGCATGAATCGTTACGTAAACCATTTAGTTTAAAATACCAAAGACGAAATTCAAATAGTAAGTAGAGTGCGCGAGTTGTTTGTGTAAGCCTTGTGTACATATAAGGGGTGGTTGGGATTCGTTTTTATCGGAGGGTTTCACACACAATATGTCTGCCTTATAGCCAGCCATTAGGAACCGTCAATTTAGCAACTACGAACATCTAGTTAAACTCTAAAGCTTTCTGCTGTAGCTGTAGCTGTAGCTGTAGCTGTAACTGTATCTGTATCTGTGTGTTTATGTATCTGTATCTGTTTCTTTAGCCTTGGCTGCTGACACTTAATTAGCATAGTGCGGAGTCTTGTGCATGCGATAGATGAGACGCCAGGGCAGCTTGGCATTTGCATTTGCATTAGTCGTTTCTAGCGACCTGTCCATATCATCCGCAGGCTGCTCGCTGACCCAGTTTAAGTTGGGCTCATCCAACATTTCGTCTCGATCCTCGACAGAATTATCCAGTTCGTCCTCACTAGACATCAGGCCTGTTGCGCTTTTGCGATTGCCGTTGTCATGATTTGTTTCGTTTGCGATTTCATTTCCGTTTGACTGATGATGTTTAGCCACGCCTATCTTGAGGGACTTGTCAAGAAGCAGCTGTTGCTGCTGCTCTTTTGTGGGTCGGTGTAGAAAATCAAAAAACCGTGATACCGCTGTGGCCGATGAGGAGTCGGAAGAGGCAACTGGGCTGCCAGTGTACCCCCATAGTTGACTGGGGAAATGTTGCTGCTGCAGCTGCTCGCGACGCAGCTGCTCTCGCTCCCGGTCCCGCTCCAGCTGCAGCTGCTGTTGCTGCAGTAACTTGTGGCGCATGTTGCCCCAAGACGCCGGCTCCAGGAAAACACGTTTACCCACGTTCTTCAGTATGGCCCTATTCAATTCGACCTGTGCGCATCGAGTGCAAAGTAAAGAGAGAAAACGCTTGGCATTAAAGGAAATGAGTGCAGGACATGTCACGAGTAATTCGCAGTGTGACTCAGCCACAGCCACAGCTCCCGGGAGATCTGATCTCCCAACCCATAACCATACACACGTTTACGTAAAATGGTATAAATATTTAATTTCTCAAACAGCCAATTTGATTTATGCTCAAGTTGAACAAATTTTAATTGCATTTTCAACTTGATTCTGTTGGGTCATTTCCTCTCTCAGCTAAACTCGTTAAATTTTAGTGTCATGCAGATATGTAAAAAAAATATCAAACTAAGGTAGTTCGTGTAAAAAAGTTTTTCCATTTTGTTGACAATAGGGAAGTACGAAACGAAGAGAAAATACATTTTATTGAATATACCTAGTTTATAATATTATTAATATCAATATAAGGAGATACCTTTTCTATTTTATGAATAAGAAATATGCATCAAGCTTTATCGATCTATACCAAAGAAATATTCCTAATTTAACTCAGCCTTAAAATATATTTCAATAAAAGTCGTGAATCCGTATTGTACCCGGAAATTGGGAAAATTCAATAATTGAATTTCTTATAATACTCATAAAACCAATGTCCACAATTGTAAAACCTGATTTTATTGATACTATAATTGTTATTATTATATTATCAATCATGCTTATCAGCAAACGATGTGCAGTTAGTAATCGGAAAACCCACTGAAATGGCTTTCAGAAGCAACCTATCCATAAGAGTTGTACTTGAGGAACTGTGTCGTAGTTTAGATATGAAACAATTTAGTCACAGTATGGGATATTCCCTAGAATGTTTGCTCAAGATAAGATAGTAACCGATATTTTTGCATGGTTGGGTATTTTGCATTTTCAATTGAACGCTGGCTTATAAAAGACACAAAAACCAAAGAAAGGTCAAACAGTTGAATTTCAACAACTCGACAATGAAAGCTGTAACATTTGCCGTGCTTATTGTTTGCCTTTTGGTGGTGCTGGTTGCAGCACAACCACAAAGGTTCCACCACAACGGTGCCATTCAACAGCATAAGTCGCCATATGAAGGAGGCGATGATCAGCAACACATGGGTCGACCGGAGAGTGATGAGGGTTCTAATGGTGATTATTCAATAAATATATATACATTTGTAGATTTAAATGTTGTCAATTTTTTTAGAACGTCCCTACAAGCGTCATGGCCATGAACAACGTCGTCCCTATGACCACGAGCTAGGTCCATTCCAGGGACAAGGACCTTCTCACGATCAAAATCCCCAACATAAGCACCGTCCCTCTAATGGTCATCACCGTACCCCACCACCACAGAAGGACGAGAGCACCACTTTCGAGCCTGAAGAGTCGACCACAGTTGAGTCGGAAGAGTCGACCACAGTCGTGCCTGAGGAATCCACGACCTTGGCACCAGTGGAAGGTACCACACAATAGAACGGTAAAAACTCTCTTCAATATGAAAAGATATTGCATTTAGTATTATATTAAAGTCAGCACATAAATCTTCAGTTTTCTGCTCTAAACTCTTTCGTTACCCAAACCCAATTATGCGTATGCACTCAAGAGCTTGCCTTTCACGGCGCTCGCATTCATGCAGCAATTTATAATATCCCTTTGACAAATCAATACGTGTGGGTTGACATGTGTAAATGGAGCACACAATTTGTTGTATTCCGCACTCATCTGCTGCAAGGATCCACGTTAGTCGAGAGGCACCCAAAGGCCAAATCATTTGAATTCTTGCCATTAAATCGTTTGATTTTTTTTTGTCGGCCACATTTTACCTAACGCCGTAGGGTGCATCAACATTTAGGTAACCAAATAAATTTTACTTTGTTGCCAGGACGAAATATTTTTCGTATTACGCATACGACGCATACGCTGGTTTCCCCTTTAGCGTACAGAGAAAGGATGCTCTAAGCCTTTGCCTGTTTAGCTGCCAACCAGCCTTAAGCCTCTGAAGCCTTTTTGTTATATACCCTGTACAAGCCAAGTGATTGAAAAAGGGTGTTTAGAAAACTGAACATGTAACTGAAAATCAGCAAAAACCTTTCCTAATATTTATGTATATCAAATAAAAATAAATATATAAAAATTCGTTCAGTTTTATCGAGCAGTTTAATCTACATTAGTTATTTGTAATTTATATGATTATTATTTAGATATCAGAGTTTAATTCATTGCTTAGAGAACATCTATAGGTTTAGCATACCCATTGAATCTGATTCGTTCCGCTAACCTTTTGATATCTACCAGAGTGTTATTTACATGTCTACCAAATACGGGTCTGTCAATACCTAGCGATAAAACTCGCCTTTGGGCTATTGTCTGACAAATGGCCAACCACGTGGCCAGATGCGGGTAGCAGCAAAATGGAGTAGGCGGAAACCTGACCTTGCCAGGCATCTGACGTTTGTTTAACAAAAATGAAAACATACATTTTTCCTTTCAGTTGGCCGGCAAATTAAAAAAGTTATCGTAAGCGATGCTCATTTCAAGGACTTTGAAGTTGCTGTCCAGTCAGTTTGTCCATTTACAGCTCTAATTTTGATTAGCTGCAACAATTTTCCATTTACATTAAATCGCACTTTCAAATGAGAATTTCGCATTGCCTTGGCTTTTCTTTTGTTTATCCTGCGAGTTGAACAAAACAATAATGAAAAGTTTTTCCCGTGCTCATTTGCGTTTATTAAAAATACCAAGTTGGACAATGCATCCCCTCCGCCCGTCCGTTCGCTGCACTCACCTGCCGAGTGTTCTCCTTCATCTGTCTGCGCGCAATCTCCAGGAGCAGCCGCTGGCGCAGCACATCCAACGGATTGACAATGGACAGCGACGGCTTATTCCGCTTGGCTAGCGAGTACTCATCCTGAAAGTAGAAAAAAGGTAGAGAGAGATCCAATTTTTTATGCATTCTTTTATAACTTCTGTTTACACTGCACAACAAATTCTTAATTCAAAAAGTTTTCAACTCAAAAACTGTTTGACTTGCTTAACACTTTGTTGCAGTTGTCTTGCGCCAATTTCCTTATGAATGGCCAAGTTATGAAAGTTGCAAGTCTTAGAAAATATTAATGTACATTGGGACGGGCAATTGACGGCTGAATTGAATAATATTAAGCAACAAACTTTTCATATATTCTCTGAATAATATTGGAATTAAAGGGAAGCGCACCCACTTTAAAAAAATTGATTTTTAATGATCAAGCAATAAATTATTTTGCATGACAGGTAAGCCCCTAATTTGATAAGCATTTCCGAGTAACTATTTGATTTTGTTTATTATTGTTATAATTAAAAAGTTGATTAGGGGCTTTGCTGTTTGCTGCATCCACATGAATAAATATTTACAACAATTTGCATAGTCGAGCAGCTTTCAGATAACAAAATGTGTGTAAACAACTCAATGTAGATAACATTGAGGAATTCTAGATGATTTTTGAATGACTAATGATAGCGAACATGAAAGCATATCATGATCAGAGCCAGCCAACAACATTTGCTATCGATCAACTTTAGCAATAAAATTTTAATGAATTACAATTTACCTATTACCATATTGCAATTAAATAAATGACAGTTAAATAAAGAAGACTATACATTATTTATACAACAAATACTATCGATAGTCCGATAAATATAATTTGCAATTGTGATTTCAGCTGATAAGCCTTGGCAATGTTAACGCCCTCCATTATCAAGTCTAGAGCAAAGTCTTGTGATTGGTAATTCGATTTAGATAAGTCAAGTCCCGCCTGTTCCGATTCAATCACTACGAATGAGTTTATGGAAAATAACCGAAGGTTAGACGACTGCCGAAGAAGATTCTGTTGCTTATTATTGTGTATTTTGAAGTGGAAAATAACATGAGGTTAAATGGAACCTTAACCTGCACAACACAAATAATCAAGGTTACCTTTTGATAGATCAACTAGCAGAAAAACAAAATTAAGTCCGAAAAGAAATCCCCCATAAATGAAAAGAACACTTATTGCTGACAGCAGACCTATCGCTGGTTTCTACACACTGAAATTTCACTTTTTTGCCCTTTTCGTTATCAGACACTATAGCGCAGAGAGCGATTAGATAACATATTTTTAGTAATGAATGGCCAGCATGTCTGCGGGCCATGGCAACTTGCTGCCAATAGCCAGTTGCTTTCTCGATATAAAAAGCCCGTGATATGCTCTGGGCCATTTAGTATACATCGAACAATAGCAAAATGAAGGTTCTAACAATTGCGATATTCGCGGTCCTCTGTGGCGCCATCGCGGCTCGGCCGAACGACTTCGGCTGGGGACGTAATCACGGCAATGATCAATGGCATGACAAAGCACACAATCTACAGCATGGTCGCTGGAATGGGTACGGAGATAGATGGCATGGAAACTTTGGCCGCTGGCATAGAGATGAGAGTGGTTGGCACAGAGATGACCACTGGGAACACCGTGGCCCGAACCACGGAATGCGTCCAGAACAACCACCAGCACCGCCAAGCTCCACAGAGGCTCCCGTGGAGACTACGCAGGCTCCCGCAAAACCGGAGGAATCAACTCAGGCTCCTGGGGAGCCAATTGAAAGTAGCCAAGCACCTGAGGAGACTACCCAAACCCCAGAGCAATCTACTGTAGCACCTGAGGAGTCTACGGAGGGACCCGAAAAGTCAACAGAGGCACCCGAGGAGACTACTGTGGAACCCGAGGAGTCTACAGTGGCACCTGAGGAGTCTACAGTGGCACCCGAGGAGTCTACAGTGGCACCCGAGGAGTCTACAGTGGAACCCGAGGAGACTACAGTATCACCCGAAGATTCAACAGTGGCACCCGAGGAGTCTACAGTGGAACTCGTGGAGTCTACAGTGGTACCCGAGGAAACTACACTGCAACCCGAAGAGACTACAGTAGAACCCGAGGAGACTACAGTAGCACCCGAAGAGTCTACCAAAGCGCCAGAAGAGCCTGAAGAGTCTACTCAGGCATCCGAAAACCCGACAGAAACTACCCAAGCTTCCGTAGAGCCCGAGGAATCAACGACAGAAGGTTCTGGAGAACCTGTAGAGACAACGACAGAAGCGGAGGAGGGCAGTGGTTCGGCGAGGTTATAAATTCTCTCTTAGGAATATCCTTATTAGTAAGAATTGGGAATCCAATATAAATAATGGGTTTTCATAGTTAGGAAACGAAATGTTATGTTAATTAGTAGTTTGTTTGATTCTAATTATACGACATGTTAATCAAATATTTTCGCAATCTTATTTTATTTTTGATAATTTTCTGAGTGCTTTAGAGTGCTTCAATTGCTGCTATTGAATACGACAAATATTTTCATTTGTTAACATGACATTATCATAATGTTCGGGGCACTTAAGATTGGTTCCAAGTAGCGTTCATAAATAAATTATTTGCTGATTTCTGTTTACCGCACAGAATGTTAATGGTTGAATTTCAACTTCAATTGTCAGTTCCGATAGATCCCACAATGTTACCAACGTAGCTCTTATCGCTGGCCGTAAAACAATAAACGTAGTGTTCAAGTGGCTTATTAGTCATGCAATTCGATCGATATATGGACTCTATATAGATTTGCTATGGAAAACTTTTTACATCAGCTTTTAGATTATATCATTTATTGACGACACAATGCTAACGGCATTATTTGCGCCGTAACAATTACTTTGCATAACTAGATGTTTTCCCCTATTAATCGAAGACAACTGTTCAAATATGCGGCAGCCGGAGTCTGGCCCCTATAAAAAGATCGTTTGCTTGAGAAAACGCACTTAAACCAAACTAAAGTAAATTATGAGAGCTATTACATTAGCAATTTTTGCCGTTTTGTTGGTCGCCGTATTGGCACAACGTGGTCCTGGCGGTGGAGGTCAGGGACCTCCGAGTCGTGGTCCAGGCGATGAAACAGGTAGACCAGGTGGCCAGGGACCTCCCGGACATGGACCTCCACGTGGTCCACCACGTAGACCCCCGCCATCACGTGGACCTCAGGACGATGATAATGACAATGACAATGAAAGCGATAATGATGATAGTAATGACGACGACAATAGTCAGGATGGCGATGATGACGCCGATAGCGAAGAGAATCAGAACAGCGAAGAAAACAATGATCAGAATGCCTGAAACTTAACGGTGTCAACAATTTTAACCCCCAGTATGTTCAAATTGTAAAGAGAATCATTCAATAAACTAAAGTTATTTTACGGCTTCAAATTCAATTGCGTTTCAATTACATATATTTGGGTAACGTACGTGTTAGCTAATGTAGAGTATATGGTACTATGGCATTTATTTATAACTCTCTCTATATATATATATAGATAGCTCTGCGATATTGTTTGAATTTGAGATCAATCGAGCCAGCTCTTAATTGTCCAGCTATAATTATCAGTAAAAGGGTATTCGCGATTCGGTAACATTGCTTCGCCCTAGTTGCATAGCAAATTGTTATGAATTGTTTTTAGCAAAGTTTTCGCGTAAGTTTCCATTTGGCTGTGCTATTTACGCTGGCAAACTTTCAGCTCTACATAGTTTTTAATGTACCGAATGCTTTCCCGGATAAAATATTTGTAATGCAACCAAATAGTTAATAAAAGATGACGGCCTCGGGAAGAAAGTGAATATCTGTGAAAACGAAGACCACATTTGCAGGTGTTCGAGTCCCAAAAAAGTTGGTCCTTTGAATTGGTCGTCTTTCAATTTGACAAGTGTCGGCAGCACAGCTCCCCAAGCATTAAGCTTCATTGTTCCAAGTGGAGCCCACACATATTGACCAAATTAAACAGCGTGAAAACTTGAACTTTTCTTGTCAACTTTAGGGGATTTATTCACGCTGTATAACAACAAAGCGACAAGTTTTATTTATCTTCTTGTCAAAGACAAACAAACAAGGTAATAATATTTTGTTTTTTTTTTTTTACTTTTTGTTTATATCTTTTTGCTGCTGTCCTAATGAAGCGTAAATAAATCGCTATTAAAAATTTTCCATTTACAAAACTTATTTAAAAACAAGTACGAATATTACTGTCGGGTGCTACCGAATGCATAATCTCGTTCACGGTCTGAAAATAGTTAAATGTATTACGCAATATTTTGAAATTTGGAATGCCGTAATTGGAGAAGGAGCCAATTCTCCCACATGAGGCGATGTTAGCTAAATAACTCTGGCACGAATCGTTCTTCCCTCTTTTCCATGCCCCTAGTAGGCGTGAATATATAATTTATTATCAATCTCAAGAGATGGTCTGTGGTAACTTAACATAGAGATTTTGGCATTTACGCTCCAAAACTGGGAAAAACATGCACATCTTGTTCTGTACTATATATCAACAGTAACTCACATGAGATATTGGTTCCAGCTCTAAAACTGTGGAAGATACCGTTTTATCTGAAGTGTCACACCTTTATCTTTCTCTAGCTTCATCGAACTAAACCAATATACTCGTTTAACGTCGTGAACGAGTATAAATAACATTGACTAATTTGTTTGTTTTACAATGTTCAATCCAAATGTTTAGTCATTGGGCACGTTCTGCCGATTAGATTACTTTGGAGTATTATACGTCTCACTTTTTGATAATATTAAAAACACTTTCAATGTTTTTCAACTCAATTACGTCTCTAGTATAAATCACAAGTCACTTCATCGGAAATGCGACTAAGCAGATAAGAGAGCTTCCTAGGAAACCCTATTGCATTCTGTGAGAGCTCGACAAACAGAAATAATTATAAGAGCTTATTAAGCGGAGTCTAATACTCGTAGTGAAATTACATCATAAAGCAATTGTAAACAACGTATACACTGATTAGATTTGAAAGGGTTGTGGTAGGAAAAATCTTACTTTGATACTACAGCTATAGATAGAGGAAGATTCTGAGAGATAATGACACAAAATAGATTGTACTTGCAAACTGATTTAAATTTCATATTTCTCTATAAAAGTTAGACATCAGACGATTCTATATAACCTATATAAAAATGTTTTTATTACTCTAGACTTTAGTCTAAGTTGATCGATAATTTAAGAAATTGGTTGTCAATTCAAGATTTCACCGTTAATTGACACGATAAAGTAAAACTGAAGCGATAAAATTATGGTAACATTCTTTTGTGAGTTTGCCCGCAATGAAATGCTTATAAATGCCCCGATGGCAACATCAAAGAATTCATCGTTTTATCATATTTTCTCTTTGCAGATTAAAAATCAGAGTAAATGTGAGTCCGAAAAAATGTCAGAAAAATGAGCGACAACTGTGGAAAACCACAAAAGACAGATGTGCGGGGAGCAGAAGGATGGCTCACGACTTACTCACCTGTACGGCCTGCACATCCAAATAGTCCAGCGGATATCCGTTGGCTGAGCCAGCGCCTGCAGCACCCGCTGCTGTTGCCGCCGCACCACGCTGTGCGGTGCAAACGAGCCTCGTGGCGCTCAGTAAAGTCAATAACACCGGGCAAAACCACGCTGTGGCTTTCATCATTCTGCAATTGTAGAAAAAAATGTTAATAAAAACAACAACACTAATAATTGCATGGAAAATGAACGGACACACAGCTCGGATGATAAAACAGGCCATGTGCCGACCCAAATTGCATCAAGTTAAATAAAAATTGAATTTCATTCCGTTTGAATAAACGGAATATCGAGCAGAGTCAGTCGAACCAATTGAAAAATGTATTTATTTTTTTCTATGCAGAATCTAGCATTGATGAATGCATTTATGAATTCTCCATAAAATATGATTATTTCAGCAATAAAACATTTTTTATGAAATGAATTCGAAAACTTTTGATTCGTAAAGCGAGCGACCACATATTTCCTTTGAGTTCATAGATTTGATTTTAATATTCTGTTTTATTTGATAAAACATAAATGGATATTTAAGTTAATATTATTTTATTTTTGCTTGTTTGGCTTAGGGAATGTAGAGAGTTAGGAATGAATTGAGTTCAATGCCACCTGCTTCTAAGATTTGTAATGCTGCATCACAACAAGCAACCTAAGTCGAAAGCAATGCCTTTATAAAAAATAACAAAAATAAGGCCTTTTATCTGCTTAGTATCTATCTATAATCATATAATTTAGTAGCTTGCATTCTCATAATTTTATAAATAGCTCAAAAATACTCTCAACACCTTCTTTGGTCCTCACATTTCCATTTACGAGGCCTCTGACACTTACACATGTTGAGCTCTTCATTGCAAACAGCATTTCGCACGCACAAATTGCTAGCATACTAAAGCAGTTTAGAGCATAATTTAAGGGCAATCTATCAACTTCAGGGAACATATATATATATAGTTAAAAAATAAATGTGTAAAAAAACGTATCTGGACTCTGACATTGATATTGCAACGCGTTGCAAGCGTGCTCTGAATATGTGAGAGTCCTGTGTGGAAATACGCAACCTTTTGACATGCTGAAGTGTGCTTATAATTTATGGCTTATGCACATGCATGACCTCTTCTAACCCCACTTTGAACTCAGCTCTCCACTCCAGCTGGATGGATGGATGGATGGACTCGCCAAATGACTTTGCCCAGCGACAGCGGAACATAAACGTAATGTGTGGAAATAACATAAATAGATGGCAGGTCCCTGGTCCCAGCGTTTGTGATAGACTCATGCCCCAAGCAGCACTCTGGGACACTCTGGGACACTCTGGGACTGACGGAACGACCTATTATAGCTAACTGAAAGGATTCCTTTTGCGGCCACAAAACAATTTGCACGCCTGCTCGATTATGCAAACTATCCTTTAGCTGACCAGAACTGAAATACTACAGCTATCAAAGGTTAAATACCCTTTTAAATGTTAGGCAAATAAAAGGTATATCTCTATATAAATATACCTTTACCAAATAAAAGTAGAAAATATTTTTTCCAAAAAAAAAATTAATTTTCGACTGATATTTAGCTACTGACATAAGATTGAGATGAGTTAAGCTGACGTTCTCTAAGATATAGGGTATAAAAGACTCAATTGTAAGGCCAATGACTGAATTGCAATTTCCGCTTGACCCAAGACGAAAAATCTTGGCGTATCCAAAAATAGATACAAATGCCGTGTAAATATAGTTTTGCTTGCGCTGGGCACTGCATTGAGCTGCTCTATTTATTTTTTCAGTCAGCAAATTGATTTTGCGTTCCGTTTGGGTACACTTTTGCTTCCTCAATTTCGTCCTTTGCTTTATATTTTGATTAGCTTGCAGCAAGTGTTTATTTACTACAATTTGAGTTGCTGTGACCCGCATTTATATATTGATTACTGCTCAATGCACACAAAAGTCAAAGACCATATGCGTATTCTTCAATTTTCTGTGTAGTATACGAACTTATTTAAATCTTGAGTTGAGGACTGCGATTGTTAATTAAATTTTTGACAAAATGCCAGCCTCAAGCTATCGTGCGTCATCTGACTATCAGCAGCTCTTTGAATTGTCATCAAAATTGCGATAAGTTTCGCTTTCTTTTTTTTGCTTTTCAATTATAACATGACTGCGCAGCGTGTACAACGTGACGTATACGAAACGCGTTTTTTGATTAGTTTCTGTTGTATGCTTTAGGGCGCGCTAGTAAATGCTTTGGCATCCAATTTTTAAGAATGAGAGGAATAGACTTAAGAATATTTTTTCGAATCTTATTTTTTTCAAAAATTCAAGCTGGTTTTCGTATCGAACTAATACAGGTTAATAATATTTCTTCTTCTCGGACTCTGTCTACTTTTCTAAAAGTTGTCGTCGCTAAGCACTTAGCTCCACTTAAGCTGAGCTGTCAGCTGTAAAACTCGGGCGCAAATTTCACTAGTTGGAAGCTTATGGCATAGCCACAAGATATCAGACAAATGTAAGTAACTCCATAAAAAGTGGCAGCAATGACATGAGGGATTCGGGCAGCTGTCATACTCGGGGTCAGGATTTACGAATATTCGAATATTGAAATGCTGACAGCAGTGCTGCATATGGGCAAAAATTCATTCATGTGTCAATTCTGTGGACTGCCCTATTTCCTATCCCTTCTCACGATTGATGCGAAAAATGTGAAATAAATTTTCATTCGGCAACCCCAAAAATGAAATTACATTGTTTAAATACCTTCATAGGAAAATGTCTGTATTTGAAGTTTGCCAAATAAATACATTTTGTTTGGGCATAAAACAATGCTTGGCATAATGTGGCCCAATAAAAACTGCCCTGCCCCACTGTGAACCCATGCACTGTTAAATAAAAGGACTGCCCCACTGAGAAATCGTGATTGCCTGCAGCGCGCTCGCTGGCTTTTATCTGCGCAGTTAAAGCATAAATAAAATATATATGTATTAAAAATAATATGTATAAAACATAAGAAATAAAGCGGCAAAAGTCTCGGCTATTTGCATTTAACATGTATGCAAATAGCTGCGCAGTTAGGCCAAAGTTTTAGGTCGATAAAAAGGATTTTTACGAGCGAACAATTTGATTTGCCCGCTAAACCATGGGGAGAAACATAGAAATAAATGAATAAATGAATTTTATGTATGAATAAATGATTCAACTGCAGCTCAATTGACTGATTTACTGTGATTTAATCATTGGCATCTAATCGGGTATACAAGACTGCAGAAATACTTGCCAGTAAGCAAAACCTTTGGTAAATACCTTACTTTATATTTAGTTTGTGGGCATATATGAAAATTCAAATTTACATTTAAAAAATATAGTGTTATATATTATAGAAAAATGTAAACAAATATCTAAAATAATATTTTATAAGGGGAGAAGTTCAAGTTGATAGATTCTTTAATTAATCTGAGTAGTAAGTCCTTATTTATAAAAGTAAGATCCCATTTCAGTGAAGGAGGACATTTGTTACACCTAAAACTCAATCTAAATCGAATTGACATGTGTTGCAGTTACGATCTCGAAGAAGAAATAGAAGCACAAAAACAGTCTTTTATGAGTCCCAAGCAAAACGTGACCCATCGCAAAGTGACGTCACAGTTGGATTGCTTGATGGAAATGACAGGGCAGCAAGTTTTCGCAGCCAATCAAAAGTTGAAAATGTTCGTCAAGACATGTTTGCACTCTATTAAATTACAAGACTCGGCACACTTAACTGCAGGACGCGCAGAAGACGCTTTTGAAGAAAGGAAATTAATTACTTGAGCTGCTGAAGCGCTCGCCATTGAAAATCTATCAACCAAACGAATATTTAAGCTCGCTTTAATTTTACATTTAAATTTGAGTTCTATTTCTTTTTTGTGCTGATTAGCGGAACATAAATCCAGATTCCCATCTTCTATCACAAGCAAATTAATTGGCAACACGTAACGAATTTGGGCAATGTCCCTCTGCCAATGGGCATCTATAAATTAGGCTACAAGATAAATTAATTGCAAAAACATCTTATTAAATTGAAGCTATGTTTGGTTCGATGCTTCAGGCATTCCGAAAACACAAGTATACATTTCTCTAATTATATTTAATTGAGTGGCCGCAGAGCAGATATTTCATATTGACCTTATAGTAAAAGTTGTTAAATATATATTTAGTTTGCTTGAAATGTTTTATTAAAATATATATTTATTTAGTTAATAAAATTGAAGGAATTCAATTGATAATTATAATAACACATTTAAATAAATAATAATTATTGTAAAATAATAAGTTTTTGTCATAGTTTTTAAAAATAAAGGAAATTCGCAGAAACAATGTATAAATATGTATATATATTATTTTGAAATTAAAATATACTCCTGACACCTCAGTAGCTAACATTATTTTTATTTTTTTTTTTACAAACATTTTTTATTCACATTGTGATTTTATTTGGTTAAACATTTTTGAACGTCACTTGTTTTTTTACATACTTGTAATCAGTTCTTATTCAAAGGTTTTTTACCCACCAGTTGTAACGTTGATTAGGATTAATCCACAAAATGCAAATCGTTCGCTTTAACAAATGCAAATAAGTTACTTTTCGTTCAATTTCTTTTGGTGTTCGCCGTTTGCCGTTTGCCGTTTGATAACAATTTTTTCACGCACTTTGGTAATTGGCTGTGAAAATTCGTTTGATCTTAACACTGTGTAATATTTATGGTTTCAAGATTTACGTTTTAGGGCCAATATTTTATTTTTATGTGCTCACGCGCGCCCGCAATCAAACGAAATGAGTTTACGCTGAATTTCAAAATTTGAATATTTTTGAGTACAAGTTCGCACAAAAATTATATTGGAATTTCAGTTTTAATTGGAGGGCTATAAAGCTGGTCTAAGGAGCTAGGCTTTTTTCCTTTCAACTGCTTTTTCAGGCTGTCTCAGAGAACGCAACAGGCTGACGACGAGCGAAGAACTCAGAGCTCGAACCGTTGCTCGCTTGTTTTTATATTGCAGCCAGTGGACGACGCTGAGCGCTCCACGAAGAGTGCCAAGCCGAGCAGCAAGGACGACGACGACGAAAGGACGACGACAGGTCGAAACCACGCGACTAGTTATGAATGAATCCATGCGACACGCACCAACGTGGGAGGCTCCACATGTGGGCACCCCAGCTACGAAAATCGCAGCAAATGTTGCTCGACCTGCTAACGTTAATGTTGACAACATGTTGCTGCAACATTTTCCAGCAACATTCTGTCTTTCTGTTTTGTATTTTCCCTTTTAATTATCGAACTCAATTAATATGGAATGAATTTTTATTCGCACATTAATTGCTTAATTATTTTAACTTTACCCAGTACAAAGGGTTTGTGCTCGTTATTGGAACTGACCTTATGGCCAGGCTAACAACTAACAGCTAACGGGTTCTGGCAGCTCGGTCGCTGATCAGCGCTCAGGTGTGAAATTGCACGTCATTCATCTTCATCTCATCTTCATCAAAAATATATATATGTATATTTAAAAGTAGCTACAGTGGATGGCTAAGGCAAGTGTGACCATATAAAAAACCAAATCTGTCAGTCTTTGACTACTTTACTGTTACAATATAAGAATATTTATCATGTAATACAGATATACATTGTGAATATTTACCTATCTATCAATTCTTGTAAATCAACTCCGAAAGCTAAATCAAATTTTTGTTAAACATTCCATTTACGTAAAATTATATTACATATTTAATATTATATAGTTGAAATTGTATATTATTTTATATGATTAATATAGAGTTTTATTATGTATTTATATATATTATATTTATATAATTATTATTCTTATTTATTTTATGTTATATATTTATATATTATTTCTATATGTGTGAAGTGAATTCTTGCAATAAAATATAAAAAATAGTTAACTTAACCATATATAATTTACTTTATATGAAATTAAATTCTATATTTTTAAACATAGTTAAAACTGTCTTTAAAGATTTTCTGTGCCAACCGCTTATTTCTTTACCATTGTTCAGCTCTTGTGCCATTAATCTTGGCCGTTTGTTGATGCGTTTTTACTCTTTCTCGAAGTTAAAAGAGAATATTGGTTTTTCTGCAATGGCTATTTAAATTTATAATGTATAAATTCATAAATATATATATATGTAAAAATACATGGTCAATCGGGTATTTATATATTTTTGCACCACTAATATTTTATTATGTATGACACAATTGAAGTTAGAGTCTTGGAATTGAGTTAAATATATAAGAGAGAGCTCTTAGGAGACAGTTGAAGCATACGAATTGAAAACAGAGTGCAAAGAGTAATAAGTGGCCTGGTTGGACCGGAAGGTCTGGAAAAATTAAGAAAGGTGTATAATCAATACAACCGTTAATCAAATTATGTAGAAATACAATTCCATGGTTTGCTCTATGATTAATTAATGATGGAAAATCAAGAAGAATAAGCATATTAGAGTAAGAAAATAAACGACTTTTGAGGTGCCAGTTTAAAAGTAAAGGGAACAAACTGCTTCTGCTCCTATAAATTTATTTAATTTTATATAAGGAAGTGACAAATAGGAAACCATTGAATTTCAAACTTAAACTCTATTGGAACCTGAACAGGTATTATTCAGTAGGTAGAGCCCGACTGCGATATACTTACATGATTTTTTATCACTTGTATTGGCATAAGACTGCAAAAGTTGAACTCGCTCGCAAGTTGTTGCGGTTCGCTTTGACCTTTGTTGAAAATTAATTGTCGCAATGGCAGTATGGCGGTGCAACAGTGTTGTCAGCCATTCATCAGAGCCCGTTACTCAACACCTAGTCGTGTGTGTGCCACCTGCCTGTTGCTCAACAGCTTGACATCCTTTTTAATCGCTGTCAATGCGTGTCCAGGTGTAATTAAACACGTGGGCCGCGACCCGTTACCTGCTGCTGATGTCCTTTGTGTTGGCCATTCACCATCATGCGATTGATTGAAATCTGTCAAAACGTTGCCAACGTTTTACAGCACTAGACTAGCTTAGAGTGTGGAGTGTCGACCATGGTTATTTATGTCGTTAAACCAACAACTAGTTATCTATAATTGAGTTGTAAATGGTTAAGGAAATAGTAGTTATGAGTGGCTAAATAGGGAAACTGAGAAGTACACTTAAGCATAAGGTAAATATATTATGAAAGTCTAGCAAAATAAAATCCGAATGGCAATGAACCTTTGAGCTCACACGAAGTCATCCTGAATCATCTCATTTAGGCACTTGAATTGCCTAATTAATGTCAGCTCAAGCCAAGTTTTTGCACATTTTATTGAGCTACTGCCCTTTGACCTGCTCTAACAAATGTTGAGTCAAGTGCTGGCAAAGTTAAACAGTTTTCATTAGCTCGAGTTGATCGTCTACGACAACGTCACTTCTGTTGGCTGAGATAAACTCATTAACATGTTGATTAAAATCACGACAGAGTTCAATCCCCGCGTCAATCTTTTGTTTGATTTGCGTAATAAGTCAATACTGGGGGCGCAGAAGAACAGGGGGAGCGCAGGTGGAGTACGGGGGTGACATTTTCTAATTGCGCTGCGTCAGATTTGACAAGCGTTTAAACGGTAAACGTCACTTGGCTCAATTATGCGTGTTAATGGCACAAGCTGCTCAGCTACCCGCCAATCCCTCTAGAAGTGTCAAGAGGCCTAAGGGCCATCTTCACAGCTGCTGTCGATAAACTGAAGCAATTATTAATTTATGACAAGCTGTCAAGTATGCCAACAAAGCATTTAATATACGACTGAAGATGGCTCAGTTGGCGAAATCCGAAACGGTATGAAGTCTGAGAGTAATATATTAACATGTATATATGGAAACATGTAGAGTTGATTCAATTTAAAGAGAGTTCCTAATGTATTGTTGCAATCCAATCTTATTATATTTATGATATTTAGCTCAACTTATACATGCATCACCAAGTGGGAAAGATTTTAATTGGCTAAAGAAAAGTGATCATCATGATCATTGTATAGATTTTCTGGCTGAAACAAGTTTACGCCTATAAAATTTACCAAGTGGAATGCAATTGTAATAGAAGTAGTGTGCTTGTGAATATATAATAAATTTTTCAAAGCAAAAGTAAAGAAGCTAAAGAAGTAAGCAATGACGAGTGCGAGCAGTCTTTTCTTGAGTGCTCGACTAGGAAACAACCTCAGCCGCGAACCCTGGACCTATGCATACATACAGACATAGACAAACTTTACTTGCAGCTACCAGAATTCAGAATTAATAGTTCGATATTGTTAAACATGAATCTTTTTAACGTACTTAAATTCAGATAATTTCAAAATGTGGGATACATTGTAAATACAAAATTTGTGGAGTTTCGTTGCAGGTTTATATTGATTTACATCGATTTAATTAGAATTTAATTCTATAGCTTAAATAGGTTACGACAGATAAGGATAATTTGATTCGGCTTTTGTTGCTGATCTCTTGACTGGGAACGATCGATATCTTAAATATTTTAAATATAAAGTTTCCTTTGTAAATCTTATAGTATGGGCTTTGAGTCTTCACTCGAACTATATGAAAAACGTAACCTTAAATAAAATCTTAAGATTTAGGAGAGTAATCAGAAATATGTCAGACCAAATTGTGAAGACTAAAAGCAGATTGAAAGATACAAATAAGACTAATTTATTTAAACATATGAAAGATAGCAGAATAACAATTTAGGAATCGACATTATCATAAATTAATATAATATTTTGAAATATATAAAGAGCTATATAAATATATATTTAATTATGCATATAAAAGTCCTAATATACATAAAATATTGTTACATAAGTAATATTTAACTTATTCGATTAAACCACACAGAATAGGGATTATAAATGCTTTTTTTTATGATTTTACCAACCATAACGAATTGCTTCAGATTAAAACTTTTTTCTGATTAAATTTCATTTACATCGTAATTCGAGTTACTGGCCGCAGAAGAAGCGCCAAAAATGAAACGAATTTTCGGCTAAGTTGAGCTAAAATGGGGCAACAAAATCCCACAAAACTTTTTGCCACAAGCTAAGCAAAATATTTAACTAAGAAAAGCGCAACAAAAAAGCAGCAGAAAAAACTTTTCTTTTCGGACAGCAATAATTAAAGTGAAGAAGTTTCCCGTAAAGCGCTTAACTTTTGGCATTAACTGTGACTGAAATATAAATGGGTTGATCACTTAGTTATTTTGATGAGCAGGTAAATCTAACCTGAGCTATGCGAGAATTTATTTGCATTATGTTTTTGTTTTATACAGCCCGTGTATGTGTGTAGGCGCGTGCTTATGCGTGTGTGAGTAAAATATGGCAGCAGGCAAGTGTTGCCAGATGAGTGAGTCACATGGACAGCTGGACAGATGCAATGGACAGACTGACGAGAATGCATATATCATAGTGAGTGTGTTGAGACTCAATGCTCGCGTGTGCGTGTTGAGTTTTGATTTTTCTGTCACCGATTTTGGCGTTGATTTGTAGTTGGAGGCGATTAAAAGTGCACGCGCGAGCACACACACACACATCAACACACAACAATTCACGCCTACTGTGCCAAAGCATTTGTCAACTGTTTTTGGGTCTCTGCGGCAAGTCCAAATTTGATTTATGAGCGCATTGTGATATATGCAGAAATAAGCGAAAGAAATCAATAGATGTGGGGCAGGGGTCTGCGGATTGGGTGGCACAGCAGGGAATGGGTTCATTTAGCAAAGCCTAATTGCATTACTTGGATAATTTCGTGTAGCGCAAGGGCCATTTATAGCAGCGCACTTAATCTTATTATTAGACTAAGAAAACTAGGTCAAGCAAGCTATTTAATTCATAAAAATGTTCTTTTTGTATACTCTATATAATAACTGATTTTACTTGAACTCACTTAAATTTGAGTGGTTCAACTGTTGAACAACTGTTGGTTAGATGTGAACATGAAATGTAGAGGGCGCTTGTTGCCCGCCGCTCAACAGTTACAGAACGGTGGCACAGCTGTTGCTTAAAGTACGGCCAGCGTGATAATGATGCTTATGAATGCTTAAATAAATTTATCCAATAAAAAGTAAAGAAAATACAGTATAGAGTAGATAAATAATAATTTAAGTTTTTCCGAATATGAGGAATATGAGGAGCACATAATACTGTACAAGCTGTGACTTGCCATTTGCAAATGTCAGCGATAAGTAACAGTTACGTGAATATCGCACATCACTAATGGGTTATCATCGCTAGGAAAACAAATATGGCGGAACGCGAACGCAAGGAAAAATAAAAAAATTAACTAAATCGCAATCGCAAGCCTTATCCAAACCCGTATAATGCAAATTTGTTGAGCGTTAATTAATTAATAGCTCCCTCAGTGCGGTGTCTCATGTGTGTTTATGTGGTCGTGCGGTGCTGCGATGCTATTTGTAGAGTCAACACAAATACAAATTTGTTATTACGTGACCTCGAGAACGCCGCTAAAATTGAATTACACCGAGCCGTGGCAAAAAGAATTATTTTTCCGTAAAACGAACAGCTCGACAGCAAATGCAACACTGCGTGTACGTACTGCGTCACAGATGCAGTTGAACTAAATAAAAACGTTAAAGTGAAACAAAAAATAAAAACAGAGTAGAAAAAAACGTAAATAAAACTAAAGCAACCGCAAAAATGTCTGGCGGACGCGAAAGCAGCGCCAGCGCTAGCAGCGGCAATGGCAGTAACGGCAACAGCGCTGCTAACTCCAGCGGCACGCCGCAAACGCCGACGCAACAGCGGGCCCGCGGTCGTCCAGCAAAGCGAGCGACTTGCACTTGGTGTGCCGAGGGCAAGCTGCCTCTGCAGTACGTCCTACCTACACAGACAGGAAAGAAGGAATTCTGCTCCGAGACGTGCATCGCCGAGTTCCGCAAAGCGTACAGCAAGGGGGCGTGCACGCAGTGCGATAACGTGATACGCGAGGGGGCGCCCAATAAGGAATTTTGTTCCATGATGTGTATGAACAAGCATCAAAAGAAGAATGGCTCGACGCGGCACAGCAGCGCCGGCGCTGCTGGCATTGCCGGTGGCGTTGATGGCGATCGCAAATTGCTAAGCAGCGGAGCGCCAGCGCCCACAGGCCCCTTCCAATACGAGAGCTTCCATGTGTTCGATTGGGAGGCCTACTTGGAGGTGAGTTATTATTTGCAGTAGCTCTTCGCAGCCACATAACTTTTTGCTTCCTTTTTAACAGGAGACGGGCAGCGATGCAGCACCAGCGGAGTGCTTCAAACAGGCGCTGAATCCTCCAAACAACGACTTCAAGATTGGCATGAAGCTAGAGGCACTAGATCCACGCAACGTCACCTCCACCTGCATTGCAACGGTGGTGGGCGTGTTAGGCTCACGACTGCGTTTGCGTCTGGATGGAAGCGATTCACAAAACGATTTCTGGCGCTTGGTCGACTCTACCGAGATTCATGCGATCGGGCACTGCGAGAAGAATGGCGGCATGCTCCAGCCACCGCTTGGTTTTCGTATGAATGCATCGAGCTGGCCCGGCTACCTCTGTAAGATACTCAACAATGCAATGGTCGCACCCGAGGAGATATTTCAGCCGGAGCCGCCAACACCGACAGAGAATCTTTTTAAAGTTGGGCAGAAATTGGAAGCGGTCGACAAAAAGAATCCCCAACTGATTTGCTGTGCAACAGTTGATGCCATCAAAGACGACCAGATCCATGTCACCTTTGATGGATGGCGTGGCGCCTTCGACTATTGGTGTAATTATCGCTCACGTGACATTTTTCCCGCTGGTTGGTGCGCTCGCAGTTGCCATCCAATGCAGCCGCCGGGGCACAAATCGCGCATGGATTCCAGCTCAGGAAAACAGCGTTGTCCACGTCCCAGATACACCGTTGTGGCCGAATCGGATGCCATGGTGGCTGCCTCGCCAGTAACTGCGCATTTTCACACCAATTGCAAGGGAGGGCCGTTTATTAACGGCTCCAAGCTTCCATCTATGGTGACGGGACCCACGCATCAGACGCTCGCTAAGCTTTGCCTGCAGGAGGTGTTAGCCGCTAGCACAGATACCCAGCAGCTTTCCAAGCTGCTCTTTGCTCTTGATGGCGATGTACACATTGTGACTGCAGCTGGAAAAAATTTCACAGTAACTACAGGTGTGTTAATTCTCGATTCGTGTGCTAATATGTTATCTGTTTTCTAGGTTAAAATACCCTCGCCGCTGCGAATGAAGGATGATGAGAGCCTGGCGCTGTTCATAGAGACGCTGTGCACCACATGCCGGGCATGTGCGAACCTAATCTCGTTAGTGCCGGAGACCGAGGAGTGCAAGAAGTGTGCACACAGTCGCAAGCGTCAGCTGGCGCAGACTGCAACGCCTCCATCATCGCCCGTGCTTGCCGAGAAACGAGGTCGTCAATCTAAATCCGCCACACCTACGCCCGCGCCTACATCGCCCGCCGAGAAGCCGCTAATTATCAAGCAAGAGGCGGGCGTCAAACCACAACCACAGCAGCAGCCCGCTAGCAAAACGAATACAAACACCACCAAGGAGCCAGTTAATCACAAAAACAACAACAATATTAATAATAATAATAATACTAACAATAACAACAACAATAGCAACAGCAATAATGTGAGCAGTGGTAAACTGACCATCAAAATGGAGCCAAATGGTGTGTCAGCGACACCCGCAACGCAATCACAATCACACTCGCAGTCTCAAAGCCAGGCGCAAGCGCTTCGGAAGGTGCGTTTTCAGCATCACAACAACAATGGCAACAACCAGCAGGAGACAGGCTCAACCGGCAGCAACAGCACCAATAACAGCTCTTCTTCTTCCAACTCCAGCAGCAGCAGTAGCTGCAGCGGCAGCTTAGCCGGTGGCACATCAAATGCCAAATATTTAGCGCCTCTTGTTGCCGAGGTACATCCAGAGCAGCTGAGCGCTAAACCACCAAGCAGCTATTATAAATCTCCGACGACATTATCATCGAGCGCCTCATTTCCCTCGTCGGTATCCACGCCTTTTACCGCTGCACAGTCTGCCTGCCCAGCGGCACCGGCTGCCAGTGCCGCCAAAGCAGCAACAGCACCCGTGGCGACAGCAGCTGCATCGAGCAACTATACGGGCATAGCCATTACCTCACCACTGAGCACACCCACATCTGTATCGGCTACGTGTTCGCATCTGCGGGCACAGCCCATCGACTGGTCCATCGAGGAGGTCATTCAGTATATCGAGAGCAATGACAACTCGCTGGCAGTGCACGGTGATCTCTTTAGAAAGCATGTGAGTAATCGATGTGATGTATACTATCGAATTAAATATATTTATAAAATTTCGGAATTAATTTACAGGAAATCGATGGCAAAGCGCTGCTGTTACTTAACTCGGAAATGATGATGAAGTATATGGGCCTGAAGCTGGGGCCAGCCTTAAAAATATGCAATCTAGTTAATAAGGTCAACGGACGCAGGAATAATATGGCTTTGTAAATGGACACGGATATTAAGGATTTATGGATATGGCTATGGATATGAAACAATATAAAGGGATCGAAGCCATCGCCGAAGTGTTAACAAATTAGTACCTCCTTCAAAGAGAAAGAACAAAAACTGCAGATAACCAGATAACAGATACGACATGTGCTTGGGCGTTGATGATATCGCTGAAGCACATTAACAATTTAATTATAAAAATTTAATTTTCAACCTAACATTCTAAAGCGAATAATGTTAAACATGCGCGAAGGAAACCAAAACAAATGTCAAGAAAACAAAAAATGAAAACTTAAAATTCCAAAAACTCATATTCGAAATATCAGTTTTTCAAACAAGAAAAACACATAAAATTTTACTTTTAAAACGCATATGAATAATATTTATTACACACGCACATTAGGCACGACAAATATGTATGATTTAAAAAATAATATTTAAAACAGAAGAAAAATCAAACCTTTGAAAATATTGTACATAATTTTACATATAATTTTGTAATTATGTATGTATTGATTGAGTTTCTTTAAAATTTTACTATTACAATGTTTGCTTAATTTTAGCAATTTATTTTAAGACAAATAAACAAACTAAACATTTGTTTAATTTTATTTGTAGATACGTAAGGTACATAGAATACCTAAAATGCAAAAGTAAAAATACATCCCGATCTAAAATGTACACTATATTAACTGGAAAGCCGGCAGTAGCTATATAAAACTCAAAACAGATATATATGTATATATATCCACATTGTATGCAATATTTCTCATTACGTTTATTTACACACGCACACACCAACTCACACACATATACACATAAGATATACTTATACCATACATATTGCAAACTGTATACATTATTATTAAACTTGGTAAACAAAACAATTTATTTTGAAACTGCTGCTTATAGCGAGAGCAATGAGACTATTATTATAACATCCAAATTTCTAGATCTCCAAATGTAAGAGAATACGGTTGGTGGCTCTGCTCTCTTCCAAATAAGTTATGCAACTATTCAATCCCATAAATACACATATTTCACATGCATACGAATCATTATACGATTTATAACATATAACATATAACTTTCGGATGGACACAGGTAAACTTCGAACACAAAAAATCATTTGCATATAATCATAAAATTAGTCAAAAATGTCATGTATAATTAAATCATATTATTCCGTAATTCCCTTTGGCTAATCATTAGAATCAAATATATAGAAAATTAACAGACTACGAGTTATACCAAAAAAACAAAATAAAAGACTAGAACGAATGAAACGAAAGCTGATTGGAATACAATTGTATATTGAATTCAATACATGCGAAAAATACATTATCCTTACACTCGCGCATTCACTCACATCCACACTCACATTCACACGCTAGTTCAAATACACATACACAACACACACACTCTCACACATATTATAATATAAACATTATGTTTTGCCATTAACATTTAATTAGATACTAAGTGAATAGTTATTTAATTCACTTCATGTTATGTATGTATAGAGAAGAACGACAACATTGTATCAGACAATTTAAATCTGAATAAAGCAAGTATATAAACATAAAAACAGGTCTTTGAATATTGAAAATGCTCTACTCTAATTTATTGTTTGAGTAGTTTTCCTTCAGTCACAGAGGCTTGCCTTCTTATTTTATTTGTAGATTGACAATGTAAACAAAATTTACAACAATTTTCATAAATTGGGAATATAAAATGGGATCACGCTCACTTGGTGATGATTTATGGATTCAAGTTAGTGATCCATACATTTGTCCACCCGAGCCGGCTTTTTGTACTACCAATCGGCAACACGATCCATTTTTTTTCTGCAAGGTAAAGAAACTTGCTTCACTTAAGTCCAGTCCCATCGACACCTGCAGCTGTGTCGAGCAAATAGTTCCAGATATTCCCAAAGTGGGTCTTTTCGATGAATACTACGTGCAGCCGGAAGCGCCAGAGATTAAGCAGCGTCGCTGCTGGGGCATCCACCGTACGTCCAGCATTTCTACCGATGATCCTGGCACACCACGAAGATGCAAAGGAAGGCGACATTGGGGACGAAACATTATAGAAAGCAAACAGATGCTTAGACACACTACATGTGTTATTATGTGATGTTATAATGTTTAATTAGTTGAGTTTGGAGTTATCTTATCAAATAAAATTATTTACATATGTAATATATATATAATTATATTATAAAATTATATATAATATAAATATATATATATTAATCATTTAAAATTTTTTTTAATTATTAGTATTTTTGCCTTAAATTTTTAACCCTGATTTGGGGGCTGTATTTGAATTTTTGGTTGGCCTTCGAATTGTATAAGAGTTTGAAAATACTCAAAAATCAAGAACAAATTTCTTTGCTTTTCAGGGAAGTAAAAAGTTTACAGAACTAACCTAGGAATGCAGAAAGCTGCAAACCAACCGCCAAGACTGAGTTCAACTCTGGAAATGAACTGTGTACAAACAGTTTCAGGGATGTCAATGGCCTAATGTCCTTTGAAAGATGCATAACAAAAGGTATCAAGTCCTTACCCATATACCCCCATGGCCACCCTTAAGCAACCCTGAGCCCCTGCTACATTTACAATTTGCGGTCAGCCGTCGTCGCTGCGGGTGAAGTTGATTTCGCTTTTTATTGGATTTAAGCGATCATCGTACAATTTATAGACAAATCAAATAACATTTTTTACTGCAGGTCGCGTTTTATGTATTTCGATGTTGGCTAAAAATAAAAGAAAAAGCGAAAATAAATTGGATTTGTTGTTGGCATGCAAATTATTTGGTGCCAGGATACAGTCAGGATTAGGTTGAAGCTTTTAATCACGTGAGTAACCGAACCAATGCCAACTTTTGTTGGACCGGTTAATGAAGCTGCTTTTGTTGGCGGAAATCAAAAATCCACAATGGACAATGCCAGGCGGCGTCTAGACGTGGGCGTGGAGTCGGTCGCTCGGGAGCACAGTCGGGAGTTGAACAACAATCCTTTTGTGCCTGAATCCTCGATTGTCAGCTGTATCAATATTGTTACAGTTCATTTTGTTTGGCCCCGACAAATAAAGCATTTTATGCAACCAGTTACCCGGCATTCCCCAGCCACACCGTCCAGCCATCTCGGCCGAACTATGCTATTTGCCTTGGCCATTGGCCAGTTTTGAGTTGTAGGTGGGCGTGTTTGTGGGCATGGTTCATTGAATTGGCATTGAGCTGAACAGAAGAGAACGGACTTCTGTCGGCTTCTGCGGGCCAACTTTGCATGCCACATGCCACATGCTACACAATCCTCGCCCCTCAATCAGAGTTCAAATTCCATTGCTGAACTTTAAGAGTTTTACTTTGACTGATAATTTATAGACAGGAGTATTGAGTTTCACTCCTTTCATTATATATATATATATATATATATATATATATATATATATATATATATATATATATATATATATATATATGTATATACTTATAAATATATATGTATGTGTGTGTATGCATGCATTGAGGCTATTGTTATTTAACTGAAACTTAGCTGAAGCACTTGATTGGTTTGTATTTGATATCAAAGTGTTTGGTTAATTAAAAATTCTTAAAGCACACAAAATAATAGAAATTCTAAAATTCACTTGTCTTGAAACTAAAACAATAAAGAGATTGAAAGCTAGCTTCGTCTTCATAGATACATAGAAGCTTAGATAATTTCTAACGGCTAAAACAGTGAAATCTGAAAATCATGGAACAACAGCTAAAGTAGAGACAAAAGTACTAAAAATTAACGAAAAGAGAAAAAATTGATAAAAAATAAAACCATACTGAATCCATCCAATTAGAATATCCTTTAAAGAGATAAAAATAAAAGTAAATGCAATGAAAATATCTATAAGAAAAACGCTTTTAATGACTGTTGGGCCATAAATTCTGTTGTTAAGCTAACAGACGTTGGGATTAAATGGTTTAAATTACGCTTCTGGTCGAAAAGGAAAATTTTGAAAAACTGGGTCCAAGTGGAAATCGGACAATTGCGAATGAAATTTGTGCGCGTGAAGCCGTGTGAAAGTTGTTGCTGCTGCCACTGGCTCTCTCATAAATAAATAAAATTCTACTTAAGCAAATGTGTGTGTGTGTGTTGGCTTGGCTGTGTGTGGCACACAATTTTGCGAGAAAGATTATTTTTTTTATTTCTGGCGCTTTTTAATAAAACTTTGAAATGAATTACTCAAGTCGACGTTTGGCTTCGTTTTGCTGTGTCCCCAAAACATACCGAAATAGTTAGAATGACTTTTTCCCTAAGGATAGATTACGTATTTATTATTTTTATTAAAGATAAATATAGATGCATAAATTTACACCTGTCCAAAAATTAATAGACAATCAAAGAATATGAAAGTTCAATCAATGAAAAATTAAATAATCAAACAATAATTCTTGATTTGTTATCGAAATATATTTTATTATCAACTTTGATTTGATTTATAAGTGAGAAAAAATTGAAGTGTATTTCAGCTTCGTTGTGGCAAATATTTCCTTTTCTTATATAATTTTGTTCTTGTTTGTTAGCCAGAAAAAGTTGGTAAGATTTACGTTTGCAATTTGCAGTAGAAAACTAAAAAAATAGGGAACTAAGAGGCAAAGACGGAGAGCAGACCTTCAAGTGCAACACGTTGCGCGTAAAGTCAGGAGAACAAATGGGTCTGAGAGCAGCGAAGAGCGCGGAATTATGCCAGCTATTGTCAAGCTATTAATTTATGAAACTAATGCGGTTGGTTCTGCTTACAGAACATTACACAAGTGCGTTAAGCAGCCCACAAAGAATAAAGCAAGAAGCTTAGCTAAAAGCTGGAGAGAGTGGAACCATCAACAAAAACTATGGTCAGCAGCTGCTTAGGAAGCAAAACAGTTGGTTAGAGAAACAAAAAATGACTTAAATTAATGCATAGCTATAGAATTATTTAAACAAAATCATAATTTAAATTTAAATTTAATTTCTTTTGAGCCCTTCAAGTTTTTATGTTGTGTATTCCGTGCATTGCCAACCTACTGAGTCTAATTGCAAAATATTTCCTTTGAAATGCAGTGAGGATATGAGCTGGAATGTACATATATGCATGTATATATGTAAACAGATGCCATCATAATTATATACACACAGAAAAACATCAAGTTTGAAGAGTGTACTGCCTCAGCCTCTTACACCCAGTCGCTGTCAGGACATCTTTAGCAGCGTAGTTCAATGCTCCGCCAGGACGTGAGTAGGAAATTATTAAGTCACAATGGGCCAACGGCAACAGCAACAGCAGCAGCAGCCGCTGCGACATTTGTACAGATAAAAATTTATTTGCGATGCGCCAGGTGCGGCTGGCGTTGAGAAGGATTCGGCTCCTTCACCTGGCTAGGATGAGGATGCGACAGGAAATTCATCAATGTCTGCAAAGTCTGTTGGCTCCATGCGAGGCGTGCTCCATTCTTCAGCAGAGCCTTAAATTGCCTACAAGTCTGAGAAATAAGTAGAGAGTCTGTAAATGAGCGGACGATGGCAGCGCTCGTGTTGGGTTGGGTTGGGTTGGATTCTGGAAGAGGGCTGTACTTATTTACGGACCGGAGACAGCGCACAAACCACGCGAAAGGAAGCGACTGTGAATTCATTCTCTTCTTCAGCTCCCTAATTTTTTTTAGCCAAGAGGAAATTATGATTTTTTTTCCTGTTTTACTTGTCGCTTTTAAGATACAATTTTTGTTTAAAGTGGAGCATTTTATATAAAGGAGCTACTTTGAGGTACTGGCGCCATCTATAGTTACTGAGCATCAGACATGAAGGAAGCCAAACCCAAGTTTACTCTTGGAATTAGTTAGAAATATTACTAAGCAGGAGGATACAATAAAAGTGCTTTAGTTAATATTAAACTATTTCAGTTTAAGGAGCAAAAGAATAAAATATAGTTGTGTATGAGATATAAATCTAATGCGCAACATCGCTGGGCACAAATAATGGAGAATTCTTGGAAAGAAATAACAAAAATATGTACTTATATGTGGCTGTCTTTTAATCTGACATGGCTCATGTTTGCCATCTCGGAATCCGCTGTCTGTCTGTTTGGCCAGTCAGTTGGCACTTGTCAGCGGCACTCGGCGCGCCGAGCGAAATTAACAAGTTGATCCTTTGTCAAATCAGTCAAGCGCACTCAAATGCGCAAAATCCACAAAAGTGACTGCAAAGCGAGCGAAGCAAACCACTAAACCAACCACCCATATTAGCACCGCACCCACATCCACATGCACTCCCACCGCTTGGAAAGAGCTCAACAATATGTAAATTCTCATATACGTGTGGCCAGAAATAAGCTACATTCAGAAAAACCCAGTCAAGCAGCAGACCCCAGGAATAAAAGAGGCCATAAATAAAGTAAAAAGTACAAAACTGTGTATAGATTGGCTTATTAGAATACTTGCTTCGATTTTCATTTGCCATGCTATGCAAAGCAGAAAGGCACCAGCTCCGCATACCAATTCCAATTTTACTATGCATCGAAATTAAAATTATAAATAAAGCATAAATAACTTTGAGCCTAACTATTGAATTTACCTTAGCCTGATTAGCATACCAACATTTAGAATAGCAAATTTAAAGTTTAGTTGAACGGATATGAATTTATGTATTACATAAAATGCAGTTATTGATTATTAATTCATATGTAAATAACCTTGAGCTGTTAAGTATTATATTTAGCCCTAAACTGCGCTACACCTAGGGCACGCACGAGCTGCTGCTTGCTGCCAACAATAGACAGTCCAAGATAGCTGCAACAATGAGCATCAAATTCGAATGGGTTTCGGATGCAGCGGACAGTGAAACAGAAGATGTCAGAAGATTTAGAGCATTATCATCGCATCGACTTTGCACCGAAAGCGACATTTAAACAAAGCCGGTTTGCCTCCGAGGCGCAGTATGCCTTCCATGTTATATACATATCAAATAACTTATGGGACTCCAAAAAAGGCAATCAGGCTCTCGCTTTGTTTCATAATATAACATTTATACATTCCCAAAACATTCAACTTTCCACCTTTCGTTTCTCATCATTAACTTACCTAGGCAAGAGCACCTGCTCAACGGGTCAGCTCATTTCCTGAAAACTTTCGGAATACGAAAAGTCGCTTTGCATTTTACACTTATGCATAATTAATTAATTAGTTTATTGAGTTATTTTTACTTTTTTGCTATACTTAAATCATATTCATATTACATTTGCGTATTTAGCAACGCAATTTACATCAATATCAATTTTTTTTAACTTTGCTTTTTTTTTTTGTTTTTTGTCATTATAGTTATTGTTTTATGTCAAATTAACTTAATTGTTACAATTACTTTTGCATTCACATACATGTGTTTATATGTCAAATAATGCAATGTAAGCATTAATCTTCATTTTCAGTGTATTCATTGTATTCATACTATTTTGCCCAATAAACACTGAGAAAATCTGTAATTTACAATATCGAATGCGCTGCTAGGGAACATTAATCACAATATATATGTAAATATATTTATACATACATACATATATATATATATATATATATATATATATATATATATAATGTGTTTATATTTATGATAATGCTTTTATTTGCATATATTTGTCTGCAGTTTCTATAGACTGCACTTTCTAGCTGTTGTATCGAAATAACTTGCATTATTCATGTCACATACGCATATGTATTTGTCAATTAAATGTATTTACGATTTTCATTTGATTTTGCTCCAGTTGTTGCTGTTGTTGTTAGCCACGCAACCTTAATTGGTGGCATAGTCCTCGATGAATGTGTCGATAATGTAGCGCTTAACTTCGTTAATCGATGTCCTCTTGTTGCTGCACTGCAAGCGCTCCTGATGCTCCGGCAGCACCAACAACTGTTGCAGCTCCCCCTGCAAATGCATTTACGTTTTTATTTATACTTAATGTTTCGCATAGTGAGAGTTTGTATGGCAATTATCTACATATTAAGCATTATTGTGGGACAACGGGGCGCATTCGTTATCGGCTTTATACAGCAATGAAAGTGCATAACGCACACGCCGCGTTAAATCCGCAGTTATCGCATTAAATTGTTTGCACAATTTATGGCTGGAGAGCCCCCTTTTCCCTTTGACAGTTGAAATTGCAGAAATTGCTTGTAAAATGTCACACATTGTTATTCAGAGCGCTGCGGGCGGTATGTCGAGATGGAAATCAATTGGGAAATTAATATTACAAAAATGGTTTCCCCTTTAAAAGGCACAGCTGCGGCTGGGTGTGTGATGAAATATATTGCACTGCGTTAAAAGGCTGTACTGATATTGAAACTATGTAACGCAATATTATATTGAAAATATTTGAATATATCGATAAATTATCGATAAATAAAGAACTCTGCATAGTTTATAGAATACGTTGAAGTGCTGGCATAGTGGAACCAATTCCAATATTATATGATACCGAATCGACAATTATTATATCGTCTATTATATAACAAATATTTATCGATAACTTATCGATACTTCAATTTGTTGTTTAAATCACGAAAATGTAGTTGGAATTTTATAAGAAGGGGAATATTTTCATAGTTATCAACAAATTATCGATAAATAAAATCATAAAATGCTGTTTAATTGTACATGGAACTCTATAAAAATAAATTCAACAAATAGTTCTTAATAAATAATCGATCAAAAATACCAAACATTTTTTTTAAAACTGTTTTTCATAACAATATTTAATTTTTACTGATATATCCGATACCGATGCAAGTTTTAGAAATATATATTTAAAACAGAAATTCTTAACTATTGATTAGTAATGAATTGTTTCTTTCGTTTAACACATTTTTCATGTTATCGATATTGAATTTCTTAGCTCACAAGTTGTAGCAAAATTTATTGCAATGCGTTTATCAATTATTTTCTGAAGTTGTCCCCATACTCACATTAAAGCCGCGTCCAATTTCCACATCCGCGTCCAGGGGCAGCGTGAACAGCCGCTTTGAGACAACAAAACTGTTTGTCCACAAGCAATCGACGTAAATCGATATGAAATCGCCATTTTGTATGCTGTGGCAGCACGCGTGAGTAGAGAGGTGCAAATAATTAAAATAGTACATTCACCGAGTGTTACGTACAGTGGCATAGAAAAATATGCCAACGGCCTTTGACAAATGGCGCTCCCTTAACCAAGTGTCAATTTGGCTGCTGGTGTTGTTGGGTAAATAAAAATACAACCATGACACACACACAAACACACACAGACACAAAGTGGCCCTCGATATTCATATATTTAAGTGTAGGCGTGTATGCATACATATATGGGCGACTGTGCGTGCTATTTCCATGTGTGTCAAGTGGTTCGAGTGTTTCCACTGTGCATGTTCATTGGCACAAGCAATTTATGTTAATAAATTGAAAATGCAAATAAAATGAAAGTGTCAGTGAAAGCAATGTGTAGTAAACCGCATACACACACACTCACAGACCATTGGATCATTGTCAGAGCACGCACGTTGATTGCAATCTAATATAGACCCAGGACACAGCTTGCACAAGCTCAGCCTCACTCTCACCTGATGGCTACTTGATGCCAGCGATAATCATATAAATTGAATTTCACCGGCAACATTTCCGTTGTATTGTCGCGCTCCAAATATAGACGTAGTCCATCCTTGCACGCCTCCAGATACAAATTGTGCGTTACATTGCGTATGGAGAATATAGTCGACGCATTTTTGGTATCATTCTGCGAATGGAATGTTGCAGTAAAATGAAATAAATATTGAAACTAATTCAATTTATAGATAATACAGGACATATCTATCGATTGTTATCATTTTTTATTTGATATATATTGCCTACCTTAGCTCTCAGGGTGATCATCAAGGTAAAGTTCAGCATATTCCGCCAGCTCCTTATGTAGCCCATGTTCGAGGGCGTCGACGACGAGGATGCGCCCACAGAAAAAGCTGTCGTTACGTCTGGCATATCAGCATAAGGCAAACTGTCGTTGCTGGGCACAGATGGCAGCTCCTCAGCAGACACGGGCAGCTTCTTATAGAACTTGAGCAGATCGCTAATATCATCTGTGGAAAGGGACTTGCAATAAATGAGTATGCAGTATGCGTATGCAGCAGGTCTTACCGCTGCACTCGAAGCTGTTGCAGTTGCGCTGCTCGATATTGTAGCCTTCGCAGAGTAGCGTGGATAGCGCTAGACTTTTGGTCGCTTTGCGTTTTTTGTGCTGATTATTTGCACGTGTCCTGCGACGGTCATTACGTGCAACTGCCACAAAGCTGACACCTGTGCGCATCGCTTCATTACCGCCGCTTGTTAACCCAGTTGCTGGTGCTGCTGCTGCTGTTGCTGTTGCTGTAGCTGTTATCGTTGTGTGTATTCCTTTATGCATCAGTGTGCTCTTCGTTGAGTTGGAGCTAGCAGCAGCTGCTGCTGGTTGCATCATCATCAGTAACGCATCCTCAGTCCCATCCACGTCCTGGCTGAGCACTTCATTATTATCAGCATTGAATGCGGCTGGTGTTGTTCCCATGTCCCCTACCCCTGGCACATCATTATTCGCCTCGTCTGCAACCACTTCAGCATCATCTACATCTCCCTCCCCTTCATCCTGCTCAACCTCATCGTCAACGTCATCCTCGTCATCCAGATTCAGATTCATATTCATGCTGATGTCCACCAGTGGATTGTCTAACAGACAGCGACGGAAGCGCTGCTGCACACCTTTGCCGCAGGTGACGCTGCAAAGCGTAAAATCGCTCCAATCGTCCCAGCCTATAATTGATAAATGCAGAGACTGGCCATTAAATTGCTTCAGCTCTCGATTCTATTGAAATTTTTAACTGAATTTCTTGACTCAACAAAAGTCGAGCAACTTTGGTATCGATCAGTTTTCATGTATAGTTTGAAAAACAGTTTTAAATAACGAAAAGAGATTAAGCCCAGTTTCTATATACTTGCATCTTGTATCTTGGAGTTGGCTATGTGTTTTGATATCTATAAATCATTTTATGTATATAGACTTTGATGACTAAGACAGTTTTTATGTCAGAAGCTAGCAGTGACTGCAAATATAACAAAATCGCGTTTGGCTTTTATGTTCCACAACATTTCTATGCTACTCGCCGCAAAAACCTCTTGAATTGTTGCCACCACGATTTGTTAGTGTGTGAGTGGGCTTGTGCTTGTCTGTGTGTGTTTGGCTTTACTATCTATCTCTTGACACAAAAGTCAAGTGTTGTATCCCAGAAGTGATGCAGCCTGTCTGAAAGTGCCTCGCGCCGAGTCGTGTCCTGTCAGCACTGCTGGATAATCGGATACACGGACTCGCAGCCAGTCGCATGCTGCGTCATCATCATCAAAATATCTACTAAAAAGTACTTATATTATTTTTTATAATATTTAACAGACGACTTGAACTGTGCACACGTGCATGACGACCATTTTGCTTGAGCTTTCAGTAATCAATATTCAATTCAAGGTTAATTGATGAGAAATATGAAAGGTATGTTAGAGAAAGTCTATCACCAGTGATTAACATAAGTGTGTGGTAGCATTTATGCCTTCTGTGTCTCAGTAATATTCAGGTAATATAACAAGCACTCAGAATTGTTTGAACTGATTGATACGAGCTCACGCACCATTTCTGAAGCACATAAAATGAAATGAATGAAAATGTTGTCGGGCTTCGAACTAAAATGCTATTTCGGGGAACTAGCAATTAGGTCTGATTGGCATGCGGAGTTGCCCGGGGAACTAGTTGGAAAATGGCGAGCCAGAGGTACTCGAAAAACTGCGCAAAGCATCCGCAAAGACGATTTGGTGTACAATGCAACCATCAAGCGAAATGCCAAATGCCAAATGCCAAATGCGATTAACAAGCGGAAATGCCAAAACAACAACAGCAAAAACATGGAAAGTAGAGCGGCAACAACTAGAGGCAGGTGCAGGGGCGGGTTTTATGGGGTCAACTTACCTAAATGCTTCCAGATATGATTCTCAAATTGCGGCGTCCAACGATGCAGTCCGTTGACGCTGATGTGAAGCACATCCTTGTCGCTGGCCAACTCTAACACTGATCCTAGTCCCGTGCGTTGCATTTGCCTGGATGCAAGAGGGGAGTCCGAGTTGAAGCTGCTGGAGTAGCCCGTGCTTGTAACAGCTGAGGCAGGCAGTAATTTGCCAAAAGCAATTAATTCCGTAGGCAACATTTTCAGCATATTAGCATCGAAGCATTGCAGCGGCTCTAATGTAGCATTCAGCTGACTATAAAGAGTGTGGATAGGGAGATAGAGAGTAAGAGAAAGAGAGAGAGATAAAGCCAATACAGCGTCAGCACAAAATGATAAACCGCACATGCACTAAGGATGAGCACTATGTGGCTTCCTTCAATATGCAATAAAGTTATTGATTTATAGTGGAATTTTCACTAATTATTTTATTCATTTTTGAGGTGACAATGCCACAAATATTTAAATAATATAAAAATAAATAATATGAGAACATATTAAATAGCTTAATGCATAGGGGATAACATTCCAACAACTATATTCAAGCTTAAAAATTCAGGGATATGACGAATTTAAATAGAGAAGATTAATCCCCATAAATCTAAACAAACTAAAATTATTTATGTAAAAAATTACTGTAATTTTAGATGGAATATCATCAACGTTCTTAGCTATTTTCAAATTAAATTTATTTTCAGAGGGAATGCTACACTTACTTCAGTTTTAATTAGTTGAATAATGTTTGCAAATGTATTCCACTTACCCCTCGTATTGGTAGGCAGCGCCGCTATCGCTCCAAGCACTGGAACCGCTGACGCTGCCACTGCGTCGAGTCCCGCCGGATGCAGCTTCATTGCCCAGGTTGCCATCGCCAGCTTCGTCTGCAACGGCAGCGGCGGCAGCTCCGTTAGCCATTTTGAGCAGCGATGCGCCTTTGTATATCGTTTCCGGCGTTAATGTTATTAAAAAGGCGGACGACTGCGATGCAGAGGCCGAATCCAACGGCTGCTCGGCCAGCTCAGCGTCGGTAAAGATGCGCGCGGCGAGAGCTTTAACAATTACCGGGCTGGTGCGAATCAACTCTGCGATGCCCTTGTGTGCACAGCGATGACGATCTGCAGTCGACGTTGATGTTGGCGCCGCGGTTGCTGCAGCTGCCAGCAGCGCCAGCAGCGACATCCAAATGGCCGGGCTGGGCAGATGATGATATCGCATGGCTGCGTTCATTCGCGTTGCAGCTGAAGTGTCCGCCATGGACACTGACTTTTTATATATAGATATGTGTATATATATCTTTTATCTGTTTGATTGCGCCAACAAATTTCGCTCAGGTTGGCATTGCAGTTTTTATCGCGCTGTGGCTTCAATTTACTTGCGCCAAAAGTCACGTTCCGGTCCGGAATCTTGATTCTTTTATGAGGGCGCGAATGCTGAGCGCACTTAAAACGCGTTGACATTCATTTCTATTCTGCAAAGATAGAACAAAAACACAAAAGTGAGAGATAGAAAAATACTCCAGGAACAATGGGCGGAGCTCATTTAAATAAATTGAATGTTATGCTTAGGTAAACCATAATTTATGAATGCACACAGGGCGTCAGAGCAACGAACCGAAAAATGACGACTTGTGCAATAAAATGAGAAGCGAACTAGAGAGAAGCAGAGCTATATAAGAGGCTATCATCGAAGCGGCCACTGAATATAGAAATAAAGCGCGAGGCTAAGTAAGCCGAAGGAGCAGGCAGCTATAAAAGAGTGAATTTATAATGTGAGCATCAAACTTAGAAGTGAAGTGAGAAGCAATGAGATGTGAGAAGCGGAGCTATTCGTGAAGCCGGACCAGCAGAAATTAAGTTAAGTGAGGGAAAAATGGTGAAACGCCGTCACCAGTGGAGTAAGAAGCGCAACAAGAAGCGCATTTCGAATGCCCAAGCATATGCAAACTTAAATTGACCACAGATAAGATCTATGGCTCTGCGAGCAGCCCCATTGCCTTTGATTATCTACTTAACTTCGTTTGCAGAAACCAACAATTTATTTGCATAGTGGAACGTGCAGCACTTGACCCAGGATACAGCGACTGCCGGTTCATGTTAAATGTTTCAGTTGGCAATGTATTGCAGTCATTAAAAGTAAAGATACGTAGCCAGCCCTGTTGACCTGCTTGAATATCCTGTTTCTGCTAGCAATGCCACACGCAGACCACAGAAATAATTAAACGCAATCCGTTGGTGCAGTCAATTTAAGATATTTGCTTTGGGTGCCCTTAGTCCACTCCCTCCCCTAGGGTTAACCCGGTCATCAAAGTCAATGCATTTGCTTTCATATCCTGCTGCAGGAAATAAATATCCCGATTAAATATTTCAGATCTTTTCTATGCATCTGTCTCTCTCTCTCTAGACCGTATAGCAGCAAACGCAATACAATGGTCATGCATTGTCCTGCCTGCTGGTTGAGTGCTGCTGGCTTGGTCCATAAACGTGCAATAATCAAATAGAATTTTTACGCACATAAGCGCTGCACCCCATAGCTCCCCCAGGGCGCCCCGTCTGCCGCTTGGCCAATGCCTTATCCTGGCAGCACATCCTGCTGCTGGATGAAACAATGCGAGTAATGGCAGAGCAAAACATTTTGCCAGATAAATGTTGGCTCCTGCCTCTTGGCGACGTGAGTGTATATGTTTGTGTTTGTGTGTGCGTGTGTGTGTGTGTATGCGGGGCTAACAAAGTTACGACTGGCACTGAAATCATTCGCAATGTGCATATCCTGTGCTGCAGGCGCATCCTTTTTCGCCAACAGAAGGAGTTATGTAAAATAAAACCAACCGGCCGTGCAAAATTGAGCTCTCAATTGTTTTACGGCATTGCCTGACCCAGTAAAAAAATCAAACAGAAAAAAAGATAAAATATCTTTCTTTCACCTGTAAACTATTAAATACCCTTGCTACCTTATAACTGTTTGCAGAAACCAATTTAAAATAAAAATTCTATTTTTATTGGAGTTCATTTTATTAGGTAATAAAATCAACTTTTGTACAAAAATATTAGTCAAGGTCATACAGTAATTATTTTGACCCGCACTGTTTTTGTTAGAAGGCTTCAATGCTTACTTCTAGCAGGTGAAGGACTTAAAACGTCACGTGAATTCGGTTAGATTGAAAAATAATATAAATATAGCATTTCAATGTAGGTGTTACACATTCTGTGAGGAAGCAGTAATATCCTACGTATAGGGTAGCATTGGTAACGCGGTCAAGTCTAGCATGGAAGCGACCGAGTTACGGTCTGTGGGCTTTACCCGTCCAAGTATGTCCGTGTGCTCCGAACCATTCTGTTGGCATTTTCCATTTCGTGACCATTCGTCAGCTCAGTTTCAAATTTCAGCACAGTCTCCGGGGGCGGCAATCAGAGTAATTGTTATTGTTTTTTGCTTTTGCCTTGCCCTTTGTATCTATTGTTGCAATAATGTTGTTGATGTTTTTATTGTTGAACTTTTTGCAAATTGTCAATGTTGCTTCGTACAACTGAATACCAAATAAACTCTAATTGAAGGTCTAAGTGAAATGTACATGTCAAACTTTAATCTTCATTTTTACAGACAATTTCTATGCCAATTTTAATTATTTTGTAAGTAGTTTTTCGTTGCAGTCCAAATAGCAGTTCGAAATAAGCACAAATCGTAATGAACATGGAAAACATGTACATATCTTATTCTTAAATATTTTCAATTACTTTTGACTGCAAGTCAGCTAAATTTGGCCGGTCAACAAAATTTGATAAAAGCACAATAGCCAATGATTACACTTTATTTGAACGAAAGTTATTTATCTGCTGAATTCGAATCTGGAACCAGAACCTTAATATCAGTCACATCAGCTTTTCGATACATTGAGGTCCTCGTAAAAGACGAGAGAAAGAGTGGCTCAGTAAATTCGATTAAAGCTTAGAATATCTGTAACAGGGAGACTCGGCTTTCATAAAAGGGCTATTGACGTCAAAACCCTTTAGCTAGCAACTCCTACTGGCATGTAATATCATCCATACAAAAGAAAAGGCTCTAATGCTCAAAATGATAATTAATATAAGTTCAGTTCTACCTAATATTACATACTTTACAGTCCAAAGATGCCAGCTGCCTGTAATATATAAGCTTTTACCATATTTTATAGCCCTTTGAACAGATTTCTGAGGTGAGCTTTTAATATATCTCTATTTATGTAATAATTGGGTTTCATGTATTATCGTTTTATATAGTTGAAAATTGAACCTAGTTCAATTTAAATTTACCAAAGTATATAAATATACCTTTTTACTTTAACTGTTGTCATATTTGTTAAGGCAAAATAAAATATATTTTTCATTTATCAATCAGATGGGGGTTTTCAGTTAAATATATATTTAGTGAAAAGTTTTCGTTTTATTAGGAAACTTTTTCCTCAATCAATTTGATATGGGACCAGTCGCTGACCCGCACAAAAATAAACATGAGAACATTTCTGTTTTCAATGAAATGAAACCTTACAAAAAAAGAAATACATTTTGTATGCGATTGATTATTAAAAGGCAAAGCAGACTATAAATAAGGAGAGAGGAAAGCCACACCAGCAAGGGCAAAAAAGGCCACATTAAAAAATGAGAGGCCATTATTACAAATAAATTGAAGGCCGGTTGAATGTCTCTTAATATGCGTGTGTGTATGTGTGTGTGGGTGTTAGAAAGTTGTTCGTTTTGTTGGCAATGCTCGACATGATTGAATATCAAAAGCCAGTTGCCAAACGCAAATCTCTGGCATGTTTCGACCGACTCCCTAGACTTCGCTACGCACACACCCACATCGTAAAGCTGATGAGGACGACGGTCGAAAATTTAACAAGTATGACTCTCAAAGGCCTCGTAAAACTGATAGCCGCCCGCCCGTGCCACTCCAGAGTTGAAAAGCGCCGCACGTTTTCCTAAAGTTCTACAAGTGGCGCAGAGAGAATTGCCAACGGACGCCGACGGCAGGAAGAGTGGGAAAAGCTGTTCACCGGGAGGCTCTGGGTCGCCGGTCGTGTCTGTGCTTGGGAGGCAAATTTTCTGCATAAGCCAGCAAATATATTTTGTGCACAAATTATGCCTTAAATGCCCCCGGACGTAGTCACTTTGGCTTGGGATTCGCTTCTCTCTGTTATATACTCGCTCATGAAGTGACGAAAAGGTATATTAGCTTAATGTAATTGGTATGTCAAGTGAAACAAGAGCTCTTAGTCTATCTCTCTGTCTTTCTGAAAATATAAAACTTAACAGAAATAAAGTAAGTGGATTCTATGGATTGTTCTCTAGCAGGCATGACAATTGAAGATTCCACATTTGAAGAGCAAGAACGAGTATCCTGCAGTCGATAACATCCGACTATAATATTCAAACTTGTTTTTTTAGGTCTGAGCTCCTTGTACGTTCCACACGCATACGCAATTATCCTCGGGGACAACTGTCGCCTTTTATCAGCACGAATGATTAAGGCCGAAATGTTTTAAAATTAATTTTATAGTGTCACCTCAAAGAGCCAACCATTCGCTGAGCCGTAATCTGGGCAACGCCATTATGCGGATTATGGGCAACTGATACTCGTGTTCTGTGCATAAATAATGCCCGCTCTCCGCACTTAAACCACAATAAAAAGTGCCATAAAATAACCAATTGCCATCCCATATGCTGCACAGATTTGTCGACGAGCGAGTCTCAGCTCGCAAAAAGTAAAAACACATTAGAGCTCTCTTTTAGTGTCGCATATTCCACATGCCATGCAGATGATATAAAAAAGGACATCCCAGTAGTTGATAGTCTGTCTGTCTGTATCCTTAGCCATTGTCAGGCAACAGCAGCGACTGCCATTCAATAGAGTGGTTTCTATTTCCCATACCCTGCCAAACACCGCCCAGACGCCCGTTCGCCCATTTTTTTCTTTTACGCCAACTCTCATAATATGTAAATTATTTTGCACCCAACACAATTGAGGCAACTGCCAGAAAGAGGCTGGGCTTGGAGGCGTTGGAGGCTTTGTTGATTCCCTTGTTTGCTGACGAACTTTATCAATGAACGCAAAAATTCCTGCATACCATTTTGTGCTGCTGCGGTTATGCGCTATCAAAGAGAGACAGAGAGAGAGAGAGAGGAATTCCCATGGCAAGAATATTATCTACTCGTACATGCTTTATATATATTAAGAGAGTATAGAAAATAATAAAGTTAGGCTTAGCACTCTGTATCTGTTGCTGTTTATCTATATAAATGTTTATCTATATAAAATATCTATAACAGAAAAATAGTTGAAACTTTAAGTAAGGGCATTTAAAGTCCGACTTACTGCTGCGCACTAAACTCTTCTCTTATTTCATCTTCTCCTTTTTGTTCAGACACGCATTGTGGCTATATTAAATTCCGATTTTATTGATTTATCTCTCGAGCATCTTCTACTTTTTATTCACTTAGGCACAGCTACAGCTACATCCACAGCTTTGCACATCTTTCTCAACATGACAATGATAATATAATCACTAAAAAGCATATCTAGTTTTTACAGACTTTGTTTTGGACGACCTAAAAAATGTGTAGATAACTCAAATTTGTTTGCTGTTCAACTAAAATTGTTTTAGCTTTTAGTTAAATAAATACTTTTATCCAATTTTTTCCATTTGAAATGTAAAGCTTTTAAGCATATTTTAAATTATTTACCTGACGAAGGCGCTTAATCAACAAAAAATATTCGCTTTCATTATTAATTTTAAAACCCTGTGAAGTTCAAGGAATTCAAGTTAATTTCTCCACTCGATCAGGTATTCAAATTACTTTGTTTTAACGCCCAATTTGGAGAATAATGATTTAGCGTAAATCCACTTAATAACTAAACAAATAAGTAAGTCACAGACGTCGAATATATTTCAATTTTCAGCTCTTGTATTATGCAAACTCATTTCAGACGAAAGTAAATTTATAGCCCATCAGCAAACAACAACAACAACAACAACAACAGCTACAAATAAAGGACCAAAAGGTTGTGAGCTCCATTAACCAAATGCCTTGGCTTCGGCACCGGAAACTGAAAGGATGTTGGCCCGCAGCGCATTCCGGCGTAATTTATGCGCACAATTAATTTTAAAATCCTAATCTCAGACAATATCAACATGGTTAACAGAGGAAAGGGATTCATGCGGTAAATACCACATTGGGCATATAAAAAGTATATATACACCTGCCGCAAGTATTATTGATGTACAAACAAAAATAGTCTAGTCGGGAGTACCCGACTATGGGACACCCTAACCCTAGGCAGAGCTGCTATTTCAATCATTCGAGGTTTGTGTTATAGCCTGAAATCCAATTTCTTATGGGTTCAAGATTATTTAATAACTTGCAATACTTCTAATTTTATAATATAATAGAATGACTGAACAATGAATGATCAATCAGGTGAAACCAAAACGTGAAATGAAACAAGCACAGCTGTGATTGCATTTACAATATTAGTACAATCAGGTGAAACTATTATTCTATAATATTATGATGATATGATAGTATTATACGCCTCTCTACTTACTGTATTCGTACAGGGTACAGTTTGCTCTTTCTGGCTTACGCAATTAATTAAAATTAAGGGGAGTGTTTACTAATTGGGTATTTAATTTTCGACTCTGATTAGGCGCCTCTGCAAATACTTATTTGGCGGGCTGATAAGCGGAAGCGGAGCTATAGCCATGTCATAAATGTTAACAGTTAACCCGTGCGATTTAAGTGGTCTCCTTCATGGTTTAATGAGCACATCAAATGCTAACTTTATAGGTAGAAGCTCTGCCCGGTTAACTGGAAATGCTGCTCTCTGCTCTCTGGACTAAGTGCCAGCTCGCTGTGCAGATGATAATTATAATGCCACTTAATGGTATAAGAGCTATACCCTTGTTGCTGTTGCGCTTGTGCTCGACTCCACCTAAATGCCATGGGCATTATGCGCTTAAATTACAGGAGCGTCCCAAGAACGGCAAGAGGAAATTGAGTATGCATTTATGTTCAAATATGTGATTGTTTAGTGAAAGGTAAATTACACTATAATATATTAACATGAGTAAAATAATACAACCTGATTTTAAGAAAAAATGCATAATGCTTTATATAAATGAAGCTGCTATATAGGACCGATGCGATTTAAATATTCATATTGTATTTACTTATTTATAGTTCATGGAAGCGTTATATATAATTATCGGCAGTATTGATATATAGTTGATAGCTGTTAACGTGCGGCCCCTCATTCAACGTGGCGCCCAAAATACCGCCCATCGCCCGTTCCGCTCCTGCGTTGCTTTTGCTCGTAAATTATGAACATTATCGCTGAGAACATTTAACTTGCAAATTACCATAGATCAGCATACCACAATGATGCGGGCAGTATAGAACAACACACGCACACACACGCGCACATTTTCCAATATACATAGAGACGCACACCCATTGCTTCTCTACTACATTATCTACATATATATTTGTACCCATTATTTTTATTACATATACAAAGCGTGGAATATTCTGCGATATCTGTGGAACAACTTTGAACATTAACCTGTTACCTTTGTTATCTTTATGCATAATACTTTCGAGCAATTTCTCCTTCCAATTCAGGGAATTTGCCTGCCCCCATCATCAAAAAATTATTTTTTTTTTCAGTGTGAATAAGAATGAGACTTTCGAATAGCTTAAAAAAAGTCATCCCATATTCAATTATGCACAATGTGAGACATGTGTCCTTTCTACCACACAAACACCCACACATACAAATATGCAAGCGCATAAATCAATCTGCAAAGCAGGCTATAGGGAGCAAGGACAATGTGAATTTATATATATTTTATATTTTTGTGGTTACTTTGCGTATTCTGTTTAATGTTTTTGCTGTCAGTTCAAGTTGTATGCGCTCTTATCATTCAAATTAACGTTCTTTTTATTATGAAAGTCAGGTTGAATCTTATTTAAAATTATAGCTAAATAAAATATTGCTAAAAATGGAATTTTGAATTACATTATTTTTTTGTCTTAAGTCCGCTGAAATATTATTCAAAAATGTTTTATTGTATTTTCTTTAACATTTCACTTACCGCTAATCTCTTGGTTTAACGTTGCTACTAAATATCCATCATAACAAACTTCCACCTCTCAGTTCGATTGTAAACTTACACACAGCAAGGGCACAGACTTATTGTGGGCTTAAGATTTGTTATTCAATCTTAGGTTTCAGTTCTCTTTTAAGCTGCTCGTTCCTTGAATTTTCCACACGAAGAAGCAAAGAGTCTATGACAAACTGTAGCCAAGCTATTTAATAAGTTTACATACATAAATTTGTATTTTAGGAAAGTTTGTGGCTTTTAATCTGAAAGTTTTAATTAAATGTTTATGTTGCTTCTTTGTAGTTTATGCATATTGTTGTGCTTGAATAATTTATAGTGCTTTATAATTCATTCAATTACAACGATGCAGTCATTTATTTAAATAATAAATGCTTTACTTTGGTATTTATTCAAATGGGAAAAACATTCACAGATCTTCATTCAATTTTGAGCAATTAAATTTCGAGCTTTGACTAATGCCAATTCTAGTCATATTTCAAAGTGTTTGCGAAGCTTTACTTTATTTGCATTTATTACATCGAATGTTCAGAATTTGGCAGGCCACAAATTGCAATTATATTGACTTTTGTCAATTATTGTGAATAAAATTTCGTTAAAGCGTTTGATTTCACGCCAGTTGCCAAGCCAATTAAATTACACGTGACCACAATCAAAAACTAATTACAGTTAACTTAATTGCTTTTTTGTGCACTGCACAAAGCCAAAAGCTCGCCACAAACTGTTTGGCAGTGGCGAAATTTAATACGGATTTAAGACCGCGTTTTTTTGCTTGTCTAGTTTTCAATGGAGTCAATTTGTTGAGTTGCTCACGGGTGTTTAACACTATTTGATTACGAAATAAACCTCTACAAGTTGTCCAAGCTCCGATTTGGGCCAAGGTTTGTGGCATTCGGTGTACGCGCCGCGAGCCAACTGTTTGCCAAATGCTTGCGGCAGCTGCTTTTATACCAGATCCGAGTCCTTGCTAAAGCGTCGGCGCGGATAAATTGCTTGCTAGTATCTAAGAGGCGAAAGGATGCACACGATGCCGGCTGCATGCGCTGCTCTTTTGCCAGCGTTTGTTTACATATGGCGACAGCTGAGGCCAAAAGGCATCCCGAGACTTGGAATCTCACCGTTGTCTAAGATGCTGTGTGTGCGTGTATGTGTGTGTGTACGTGTGTATTACATTGAAGTTTTAATTGAATTGCGGCAGCAAGTTTTTAACTGCATTTTGCAAACACAAAACACAAACACACAGCCAGCAAAGGTGTGAGTCAAGTTTTGTGCCACAAAACTTTACAGCTTTAAAGTTTTTCACTTTTGATGTGGCATTATTGCAGTTGCCTTGCTTTTTATTTTATTTTCTTATTACTGATCCGCTTTGTGTTACTTTACCCTTACCAAATGCAGTTTAACAGATACGAACAAATAAAACGCGCCAAATGCAGCAATGCGACGGCCACCCTCAAAAGTAGGCAACACAAAATGTTCATTCGCCAGGCGCTCGCTGTGTGTGTGTGAGAGAAACTGTGTCGAACACCTGTTGTTATTGTTGTATTAGCTGGCAGTTTGTTTATGTTGTTGTTCTTGTTGTTGTTGGCCTCTGCTTGTTTCTTACTTTGTCTTTTCTTTAGATTTCGCCGGCCGCAAAAGTTTTGATTTCGCTTTTGTTTCAGTTGCTGCTTCTTGTCGCGCCATTGTTCTTATTGTTGTTGTTGGCAGAGCTCATAAGGACCCTGCCAGGTGTTTTGATTTATTGCGGTTTGGTTAAGTGCGGCACCAACTTCATTTTAATCTCCCTCACTTTAAAAGTATTTTGTGCAGCTTTTTAGCTGCTTTTGTATTGTATACGAAAGAGAAAATAAAAAATAATCACTTAAATCTATATTATATAACTCATACTCTATTCTATTATTCAATATAATTTTTTAATGCAGTTGTGAAAAACAAAAATGTATTCATCCCAAAACAAATTTTCAATCACTCTAACTTTTACTTTAAGAGAAAATTCAAACAAAAGTTTGAGTGCCTTTGACTTTCCTTAACAAAGATCTGAGAGCGGAGCCATAAATTATTTAAAAAAGCCAATAAATCATGACTTTGTTCGTAAATAAAAAAGGTTCTGTACTTCTTCATTACAGTTTCCCAAAAAGTTTCTGTTTATCGACTGCACGATCCGAACTCATTTCGAATGCCCTTTTATCTGGTGTGTTAACCCACTTAGAACAATTTAAGCGCTGTGCCAATTTCACACCCACAGCAACTGCGAAAATTTCCGGCCTCATCCCGTGCTAGTTTCTTTATGCAGCTGATTCGTTTCAACGCTAATTACAATTACGTTCCCATCCAATTGCCTGGGGATATTTCGGGGTCTATATATCGGGTTGGGGGAGGTGCATGGAGTTCGCGACATAGACCCATTGAGACTCCAAACATACCCATGCATATTTTATTCTCTGTGTTGTTGGTAAAATTTGCTGGCAAATTGCCTACACCATTTTCTACAGATCCCTTACCGCTTCCAGTTCCATTTGCCATCCCATTTCTATGGCTACTCACAGAGCTCTGTTCTAGTCTGCTTTCTTTTTTCTCTCTGACCACGATTCGTTTGGCGTTTTGCAAGTGTAACTTAATTTGTTGCCCCGTCGGTGGTTACAGCAGCCAAAAACCATTTGGTACATGCACAATTTTGACACCCACCACGCCCACGACCCGCCAGTAGACACGCCCACTTACAAGTACATATGGCCTGGCCCAGCCTGGCCCAGCCTGGCCTGCCCTGGCGCTTTCATTAGTACTCAATTAATGGAGCATGATCTTAATGGGTTTTCAACAACAGGCCGTCCAAATCGAACTAAATCGAATGAGCCTAACACTACGGGGAAAGTGGGCGGGCAACGAGGCGTGCCGTTTGCTAAGAGCGCCAAATCAGCAGAACCCTAATTGGAGGCGGACACAGGATGAGCACGGAGCTGCGTATGCGGCCAAGGGCGAGCATTGTGAGCTTTCAAAAAGTTTATTACTACCAAAAAGTCAAAGAAAAAAGCATATTGACCACACACTAAGCCACGAAGAAAGGGGAATAATTCGTTAAACGATTATAATCGACTAGAGTATACTCTTTAAAAATTTTAAAAATAACTAAAAAAAATATATCTACTAAATCTTTATTGACTGGTTTGGTGCCCACGACTATCGACCAGTAGATCTATGAACATTGGAATATATATAAATTAGTACAGACTACGTACAACAGTTTACTAACTGAACTGAAGCTGGCCCTGACATTGAAAAAATTCTCTTTGTGTAGTGCGCTTCGGCTAAGTTATTTGTTGAGCGAGCCTATTCCAGTTGACTTCGCGGTTTCAGCAGAGTGCTTTGAGTTGCTGATGAGTGTGTGGCTTGAAGTCTCATTTGACCAAACACTTGATGTTTGATTTCAGCGCACGTTACGGAAATTATGCTTACTAGCCAAATGCTACGGCAATTATTAAAGGCGAGTAACACAAGGAATGGACACTTCTTAGAAAACCATTCGCTTGAATTGCTTTATAGCTACTAAAATTAAACGAATTTAAAAGCATTCCCATTTTTGTATTCTCGCAATCGACTTGTGTTTGGCAATCCTCTGTCACATTTCTTAAGATAAATATTTATACTACATAAGTATTCCCCAATCAGCACTGATCTGCGCGCTCCCTTCTCAATTACCTGCTCAAATTTAAGACCTCCAGCTTATGCCGGCTTTGCAAAGTGCGTGCAAACATAAATTTGAGGAAGCTTCTGCTACAAATTTAAATATTTATTTTGGCAATTCGAGCGTAAAATGTTCAATACCTCTTTTTGGGCACTTTAAGTGCAGCATCAGCCACGCCCACGCCTTCCGGATGTCTGGCCATATTCAATCAGTGTGAAAAAGAGGAAAATGAAAAGAAAATCCTTAGCATGGTCGAGAGCGTGGTGGGGTTTACGTGGGCCATGGATAACAACTGGTCCCCACGCCGGCTGGGCCGTCGGGCAAACGAGGCTAATATTTCAGCGGCTCGAATGGCGTGAAGCAATTGCTTTCCGGTTATTGTGTATATTTACGGACCATATTTGTTGCCAAGCATCTGGCAGCCGATAAAATACAATTTCAAACCTGCATTTGCTATAAGCGAATTGTCTGCGTTACCTTTTTCCCAGCTTTTCCTCGAGCTATGCAAATGCCTTTCGATGAAAAGCTTCAACCAGCCACTTGGCTTGGTTATACAAAGCACATACACGCATGTACACATACACGACTATATAAGACACCTTTGGAATACATTTAACTTTTACACAATTATTATATCAACACATCATCGATGATATGCATATTTCAGAATTGGCAGCAGTCAATGGAGAGCATATTAAAAAAAATAACATTTTTTGATTGATATTGATATGACGGCTTAAAAATTTGTATATGGGCTTATTAACATTTTTTGTATGATTGTTGCTTTAAGATACAAAGCAGGAATTAAACACATAGTACTTTTTGTTTTCAGTGTATCTCAAGCATGAGAGAGAAACACTTGTGAACAGGTTTAATTTATGAGATGAAATTTTCATATTTTCAAGAATTGTCCTAGTGCAATTCGGAGAAAAAGCTAAATACTTCAAGCTTACAAAATTTGTTGTTATACCCAGTACTCAATAGAGAATGGTATGCCGTGCTAGATAACGAAAATAGAATAAGCTGGATTAGTATACAAAGCTCTAAGACCAACCGCAATGTTTAACGAATGAAAATAAGCAAATATACTATTGAAAATATATTTATTTTTTCTACTATTTACTTCTTGACCACTCGAATATCAAATTAAAATATTGGTCCAGCCTATCACTAAGTCGTCATTGCTATTGCGCTGAAGTACTTCAATTTCACTTTTACTCCTGTTACTTGAAACCAAAAATTGAGCAGTTTCCTTTGAGTTGTCTCAGGCACATGCCAATGTCAGCGTATTTCTTGTTTCTTTTTTCTTTTTCTTTTCGCTTGTTTCATTTTTGTCTGTCGCACGGTAATGAGATTTATTACAACAGATTGTTACAATATTTTCATGATGGGAAAACAGCGAGACAAGAGCAATTTAATTTTTAATTTTCCAAATGAATGCGCTCAAATTAGGCTCATTACGATGCCAGATTATTCTCCAAAAAATAGCATGTGTGCATGTACTTCGTCCTGGGATATACGTGGGACGTGGGGCAACTCACGACTGTCTCTTTAAAGTTGCGTAAAGACTACTTAATTCTTTACAGAGTATTTCTTTAAGCTGTTGCCCAGCTGTGAGTCTAGTTGAATTTTATCGTTTTTCAAGCCGTTAAGCAGAGTTGCCTAATGGACAGCCTTGGGGAGGGGGTTAACTTTTCGGTAGAAGCTGAAAGGGAGAGAGATAGACTGAGGCGATAGACGTGCTACAAGCATATCCGTATCCAATTTCTGAGCTGTCGTTCACACTCGACCAACTTTCAACTACCCTACAAATACGTATACATATGTAAGTCCAGTGGGAATGGGCCATACGCTCCACTCGGGTACATTGGTAGTGTTGGCCTATTTTAATATGGAGCTTTGTACTCGGAAATAATATAAATGTATAAAAATAAAATCATAATTAATGATATCTCATGATTACGTTGATTCAATGAAAACGTAATTTTAATTAAGAGTACTTAAGCTCCACTCAAAATATGATTATTCACTTACACTGATTACATTTACTATTGAAAATGGGCGTTAAAAGTATATTGGTGATGTTAAAATGTTTGTAAAATGTTCTATATCAGAATCAACAGCCGAGAAGTTTATTCATATCAATTAGGATATTTCTTGTTTGCGGCTCGTCTACATTTACAGCCTCCTCCTATACAATCCCCTCGTTAGAAACATGTTTACTTATACTATGTATATTGAAAAGTTAGTTGCTGACATTGTATACTTATACTAAGTATAAATTATGTTTGAAAACGCTGATTGGGCAGGGCTAAGGGTATATCCAAGTCGTGCACTCCCGACTAGAGACTTGTTACTTTTTTTTAGTAAAATTTGTATGACTGGGTGTCCATTATTTGTTGGGCATTTAAAGCTTTAGCTACAGCTGCCTGACCTGTCACCTACCCCACAGGCCACAAGCCACCCTCCAGCCTCTCGCCTCCTCTTCAGTCTCCTACTACATACTCGTAGCACGCTTGTCCAGCCTATTGGCCAGTTAGTTGCTGACGTTGCTCGGCGTAAAATCGCATAACAAATGATGTTTAATGCTGTGGCTGATGAAGCTGAAAAGGCCCCAAACGCATTCCATGTGGCCAAACATGCGTGCAAATGGAATGCCTTTTTGCAGGCAGCTCCCGCGTCCACGAAACCCATTTTGTTTTTTGTTTTTTTTTTTTTTTTGGCGCACAACCTTGTTGGAGAAAACACGCTGCTCATTTGGCTTGATAATTTATTTTCGCATATTAATTTTGGCTCGACTTGTGCGAGCGCGAACGAAATAGTGAGCAACACACAAAGAGCGAGAGAGAGAGAAAGCGAGGGGCAAATGAGAAATTTGTGATAAATGAGAGCCGCTTAAATGCTCAGGAATACGAGCACTACCCGCCAGAGGCCGGCGGGAAGGCAGACAGGCAAGCAGACGGCACATAAAATGATTATCCTGCACAACATTCACTCACACTCATACATACACACCCACACATAGACACTTCGGATATGAGTGTTTAAGAATATGAGTATAAATATAGAATTAACATAGATCTGGGTGCACTCTAGATTGTATTCTCAAATCAGGATCATATTAAATGTTTGTACCAAGAATTTCTTATTGATAAAAGAGCTCAAATTTCCACAGAATATATTTTATGCACATATAAAAAAGGCTCATAACGCATTGAAAACGTAAAAAACGGAAAGCTCTATCGGTTATATGGATCTACTTGCAATGAGTACAGAATTTTTCTCTAAGTGTACATTTCTACGCATTTGGTCTTAATTGCTTTCCGAGCGCCAGAAGGCATTTCTGTTGTGGATTTTGAACATAATATATAGATATAACATATAATATATTCTCTTTCTATATTCATATAGCATAACAGATAAGTCGTATGGACATTGTTTTGCTTGAAATGTTGCATTTATCAAGCTTAGGCTTTTGGTGCTCGACAACAGGCTCCATAATTAATGAGCTCTCAAATTGTGCTAATGGCCAGCAACTCCTGGCTTCTAGTTCCTAGCAGGTTCTTAAGCTCAAGTAGAGCTTACTTAAGGTACGTGCCGTTCAGTTGAAAGGACGAGGATCAGAATCATATTCATACAACAATTAAATATTTATATTGACAGGATATTAAAGAGGTATGTGTGGCAGATAGGGGGTTTTTTAAAAGGTAACATTTTCAATTTCAATTTTAAAGATTATTAATCCCAAGTCACGTTCCCAAGTAAACACAATCTTAACTGTCTCACTCACAGAAACTACCACAAGTTGTATTGGCTTATTTGAATTTCTTTTATTCTTCAACCTATTATTAGCCAGCACAATAGCGGACAATTGTAACAACTCTTAGCTGTCCCCAATTCCTTTTGGATCAGTAAACAAGTTTTTCAATTTAATGGGCCGTGTTTGCTGCTGCTTGACAGCATTTTGTCAATAGAAAATTCGCATATATATATTTTTCCATTAAATTGCCGTTTGTCAATGTGAAATCGGCATTGAACTTTGAAATTTCGAGTTCTTTGAAATGTGAAACTCGCCAATTATAGGGTGCAAAATGCCATGAATAAAATGTGTGTAAAGCATTGTTTGGGCCTGGATAAGTGCACGGGGTGGCATGCAGGCAGGGTTAGAGTGTGAAAATGTTATAAGGTGCTTGTTGTAAGCGTTGCAAGTGCTTTAAATGGCCCTTGTATTAAGTGCAACAGCTGCTGCCGCTGTTTAATCAACATCAACAGAATTACGCTCATCATCATCAGCTGAATCATCATTGTCTTCTTCATAAGATTCCTTTGCTGCTTGTCCCCGGCACACATTTTCAAGTGTTTTGTTGATGTGTGTGTGTGTGTGGTTGTGTGTGGCACACACTCATTCACAGACTTCGTTTGCATAATAATTTCACTCATTACATTTAGTTGCGCTGCAAACACCCCACTGTCCTCTTCCACTCCAGCTAAATATGCAGCAGATACATTTATTTGCCAGACGTTGCAAGAGGATTTATGCTTCGCATGTGCCAGCATGTGGCAATTCTTAAGCCAACTATGAGGTCAAGATGCGGCAGCATACCCACTCACCCACAAGCACCCACACACAGACTTCCATTAAGCCAGAACTGTTTGTGTGTTGCAGTTTCTTAAACGTTTTCATCATTATACCCAGTACCCGCTGCACGTCTGCAAAAGAGGTTGGATTCGCATAAGTTTATGTTAAATACAGGATAATAGTCTTTTCCGCTTCTATTAAAAGTACCTTAAGCATCGTCGATAACGGAGAAGATGCGCCAAGGGCCGTAGCTCTCTTTGTGTAATCACCTGTAGCTAATAGTCTCATGCAAGAAAAAACTAATACACCTCCTTTCCTAAAGGGAAGAGCAGTCAAGCAATCTTTAAGTCGGACAGTCCCATGTAAAATACTGTTGCTTATTACTCGTCTGTCAAACGGTCATCAATTGCTTAATGTCAACTGTCCATTTGCAGCTTAATTGATTTTCCAACTTTGGTGGCTCCAACTTATTTTCCATTGAAGCTATTCAAATTGCAATTTGCATAGCCTGAGCTGGGCCCACTGTGCAAACTTTGTGCGCTGCATGAACTTTGCGGCTTCTAACGAGCCACAGAAAATGCTCCACTTGCTGCATACCGCATGCCGCATGCCGCATGCCACTTGCCAGCCAAGTTCAAAGTGTTGCAGCAAAAGTTTTTCCACGCTCAATGTTGTTGCTCGGTTTTGGGCCAGAAGTTGGTTCCCAAATTTCTTTTCTGCTCAGTCGATTTACAAATATGCGAATTTTTATTTGGCATTGCAATTGGTGCATTGGCTTGTTATAAATTTGATTGCTTTTTATATATTATAACTAGATGTAATCATAGCCATATGAACAATATGTGGCTTGAAGACTAAGCCACAGCTTGTTGTTTTGTTCATTCATTCAGGATTATTTTTCAACGCGAACCTTTCAACCATTCCTCAGTCGATAACTAGCTTCCTGAATAGCCTTTTAAGGCAGCTGCACTCAATTCTGTTTGTTTGCTATTAAATCAATGTAGATGTATTTTCAACCAGACAAGCTCTACCGTTGCTTAATAGCTCATAAACCTCACTCATGGCAGTTCAGTCAGAACTCTAAGCTTGAAATTGTGTATTTTTGAAAGCTTTTTGGCAAAGCGAATCAATTGAGCACATAAGCCAAGCACAACATTCTTAAAGTAAAGCCCTTAAATGCTTTTATTTGATAATCTCCTTATGGCTGCTCGATATCTGCAGACACTCATGTATGCCTGTTTGTGTGCAGCTCAGAGTTACGAACATCCATGAGGACTTGTCCAGCATTTCAGCTTCTGTTTCGTTTATTTAATAAATAGCCGTCTTTATTCGCAGTCCGTAGCGTCTGGCCAGTTCTAAGCTGTCTCTGCTGGAATGCATTTACCGTCGTTCACTTGAACGTCATCTATTTTTATGCACCATCCTTTTTGCCTTTATTGAAGTTTCCATTCCATTCTCGCTGCTCTTTAATCTCTGAGCTCTGAGCTCGGTGCCTGGAGCTTAAAGCTTGGAGCTTGGAGTGTTGCGCCCATTGCCAGTTCCAGTTCCTGCCTTGTGGCGCATTTCCTTTGCAGTTCTTCGATGCAACAGCAATTCACTTAACTTACTCAAGTCGTTGTCGGCATAACTTCCTCATTTCTCTGCTTCACCTCCCCTACTCTACTGTGATTCAGAAAAAGAAAAAAACAGTGGAACCCGAGAGCTTAAATCCGAGCAGGATAGTCATCCCACACGCTGAGCTTGGCGCTTAGTGTTTTAATGCCAATGCGAACACACATTTTATACAATTTCTTTTATGCAGGAGTATATACATTTCGAAATCCTTTGGTTCATGCATTTGTACGCTTTATTTAACCATGGAGAGCGGATTGGCAGTGGGATTGGGCGTAATTGTGTGGGTTGAGTTGCTGTCAACTCTAATAAAAAAAAATAAAAACTATTTACAGCTGGCAACAGTTAAGCATATGAAACTGCAAATCTGTGCCAATGATGTGAAAATGTTTGCAAACTCACAGCAAGAATAAAAATCCGATTGCAGGCGAGCCTCTTGAGACCGTCAGTCTGAAAAGTCTTTTCGCACTTAAGTGGAGCAGACAAACGTCTAAGTTGAGAACTTCATAGTACAAGCCTGAAGAAGAGTTACTTAATAACATTGTTTTATCTCAAAACTGTATGTATTAATTCACAAACTAATTGATTGATTGACGATACACGTATAGCATAAAGTTTAAGACTCATTTATATGAGTGTTCAGATATGATTGTTCAATAATAAATAAATAAATTTTAAGAGTGAAAACTACAAATTTCATAATTTTAAGAATTATTAAATTTTATTTATTAAAAATTATAATATATATATAAATTATAAAATAAAAATTCTGGTCTTACAAGAATTAAAATACTTTCAGCTTGGTAAATAAACTCGAACTGCTATCATCAACATGTTTACCATTTTATTCTTATGTAGACCGTTTAGCACCTGCGCTGTTAACACTTTTATAATAGCCCAAAAGCCCTTTGTAACTGTTGTATGTGCTTTAGTGAAATTGGTTTTAAGTAGACCAGCGGTCAGCCAGTTAAACGACTTACAATTTGTCAAGTAGTTGCTAATTGATCTAATTTAGTGTCTGTCGCTTCCCCTCTCCTACTTTGGAAAGAAAGTGAGTGTTTGGTGTCAGAACTCTTGGCTTCTTCTGCTGGCTCAGTTGCACATTGGATCTTCAGCCGTATAGAGACTTAGCTATTATGCTCAAAGCACTTGCCGTTTTCTATTTGACAGCTTTGGCACTGGCCAGCAGCAGCAGCAGCTTAAGTAGCCGTCCAGTTGATCATTTGAAGCGCTTCAGCAGATCTCTGCTATTTCCAGCTACCTCCCCAACTCGTGTCCAGTTCATTGGCGGCATTGGCATCCCAGTAGAGGATTTACATTTCGAGTCAGTCACATCGGGCTATGTGCTAAAAACGGAATACTTTCTGCCCACCACAGCCGATGAAATCACCAGAGTTTACCTCAAACCGCAGCCCATAACAGCCAGAGAGCATATGGGTCATATGGAAGATGCATCTGGCATGGGCTCCATGTATCGCTGGGTCATATATCGAGGAATTGAGATGGTGTTGCAGAATATAAATATGCCTGGACGCAGCTGCCTGCTGCGTGTCATTTGCGAGCATGCAGCACTGCCCTTGGGCCATGAAAGTGGTTTGCTAGGTGAACTGCTGCACATAGTGCTGACTCCATCGAGCTCCTCGGATCACATTGTCTTGCCCAGTGATCGGGAGTATTTGGTTGCGGAACGTTTTGGTAAGCGCGGGGGCAACTGTGAGTCTGCCTATGGAAGCAAATGCCCAAGTTCTCCCATGGGCCTGATTACGGTAATACTATGAGTTTTTGGTGCAACAGAACGATTGTGATAAATTGGAATTAAAGTGAAATTGTATTCAACAAAAGTGTTCCTAAGTGTTTCCGATCAAAGGGTGAAAATTCTTGCTTAGATTTTTGGCAGCCTATCGGTAAGAGTCGATTAAAAATAAAAGAATTAACAATGTTGTAGTCACAAACGTCAAAGCAGTTAGATTATTTTTGGTGATTCTGAAAGTGTGACTTCAGTAAATTATATCTAACTCCAGAACATTGGAAGTTATAGTATTTTGCCATTTTCCACGCTCCACAGTCTACAGTAAGCGAACTGTTAAAGACTATGGATCGAAAACTATGGAGTATACAGCTTATATACTTACTGGATATGCCACGCCCCCGAAGGTGCTTGAATAGAGAATATCAATAGTAAATCGATCATGAAATTTTAAAATTTCTAGCTCGAAAATTTTGATATGCCATGAGCGTAGATATATACAATATATTTTTAAATGAAGGCTGTCAAAAGTTAATACGTGTAAATATACATGAGTGTATATTCCAAATTCAAAGTCTCCAACAACAAAATGGTCAAAGCGCTATATAGTCAGTTCCGAATTGCCGCGCTTCTGGTGGCCGCTGACTTATAGTTTTTCAGTGATCTTGAATAGGAATTGTAATAGTAGCTTTCACTTCGTGAACTACTACAAAGAGGTTAAGAATTTTTTGGATATTGCTAATAGATTAGAGCTGACGTTATATGCGAATATTTCAATTGGCTACGTTCATATCTACGTTCATCTCACAGAAGATTCATAATATTACATAAATTTAATAATACTTATCAACTATTATTGATATTATATTGCGTTATTCATTATCATAACCATTGGGAATTCCTAACAGCTGTGCTTAGATTTTTAAACATGTTTGATGTTGGCTTAAAGTTCTCCATGTGAGTTCATTATCATAAACAAACATTCAAATGCTTCTAAACAGTTAACAGCTCTTAGCATAGTTATTTATCTCATTTATTTTATAGCTACAAATAAACAAATTTCTCAACCTTTCTCACCAGTAGCAGCTATGAAAATTATCACACTTTAGAATCTATCTATTGTTGTCAAATATCATCAAATATTAGAAGAAATAGGTGTAAATGCATTTACCGATAAGTAGGAATCTTAAATGAATAATAAATTGAGGTTCGCTGTACGTTTAGTTCTTGACGAGATCTTCAATGGACCTCACCATGCAGCCGACACTTGTCTTCATATCCTTAGCAGCTGTGGGCAGCGGTACAATGATCTATCCGAAGATTGCGCCCTCACCCGTGACGTTTCTCTGTGCCGTTGGCATTCCCGTCGGGGACCTGCCCTATGAGACCGTCGTCTCTGGCTACGCGTTACGGATGCAGTACTTCCTGCCCAACAATGCGTCAGAGACTACAAGCATTTATCTGAAGCCACAACCGATTACGGACAGAAGAAACAACAAAAACGAATTGGCTTCAATATATCGTTGGATATTATATAATGGCATTGAGATGATTCTAGAGAACATGAATCTGCCTGGACACAGCTGTCTGTTACGATTGATCTGCGACCACGCGGCGCTGCCATTAAGCCATGAGAGTGGCTTACTGGGTGAGGTTTTGCACATAATATTAACTCCCTCGAGTTCAAAGGATCAGCTGAGCAGACGCAAAGATCACAGCTATCTAGCAGCAGAGCGTTTGGGTAGACGTGGCAGCAACTGCGCAGCTGTCTTTGGCAAAAAATGTAAAAGTTCGCCCCTAGATTTAATTACTGTATTATTATAAGTGAAAGGCTAAATGAATTAAAATTGGAAGCAATAAAAAATATTTTAAGATAAGTTTCACTTATTTTAATAATATTTGTAATTAGATTTTAACTCGCAAAATCATTATAGTCATGACATAACGATTGCGATTGACTTTTGACTGACAACCGCACATGCAATAGATGGTGTTTCGGTATCATGGGCAAAGGTGTGATAATTACATAGTTGATAAACATTTTAATTAGTTTTCGCACGGCCTGTGATTCGCATAGCAATCAGCATCAATTGTAATTACGTATGCATGTTATTTCAAGCACACACGACGTATGCGTAATATGCGTGCGATTGAATGTTGATGTGTGTGTGTCTGTGTGGGTGTTTATGGGATGTGAGTCTGCGGTGTGAATGTCAGAGTTGTATATTACAATTAAATTTAAATAGTAAATATAATTTATATGAATTATGTGCCGACTACATGCGTTTAATACAAATTTATTTTAACGGCTTCCTCATTAGGACCACATTCAGAACACGTACACATCAGCCAGAGCCCAGTGCCATGTCCTCATCGTAATGGGCTTAAATACTTTGGCACGCAATCGGCTTGGCCATGTGCATGTCCATGTCCAGAGAGCACACAGCCGTAAAATAATTACATACACATTGAATAAAACGCGACATGAAACAGAAACAAATCAAAACCCCGCTCATCCTCAACTCTCTTCTCGTCCTTTTAGGGGCAGTGAGCGCTGCTTAGGCTGGAGGCGTGGTTGGACAAACTCAAACTGTTTGCTTTTGGCATTTCAATGCCGTTCGACCAAATGGATTTAATATTAATTAGCTGGCTGACAACGCATGCGGCAAACCAATTGAGTAAATTCCTTTTGGAAGGCATTGCGCATACGCTCTGTAGCCCCGGGCGACCTTAGCTCACAGTAAATTAAATCAAAATATTGCTTGGTAAACATGGAGCACAGCTTCATTTGTTGTGTTCTCAAACATATTGTGTTTATCGCAAAAACAAACAGCCTTTCAATATTTTGAAAACTTTCTGCTACACCAATCCAAAAAAATGTTATATGAAAATTGAATGGAAGCAGTAGCAGCAGCTAGGGCAGACGCTGTAGAGAAGTTGGGAGCGTTTCCGGCTCGGTTTGCCAGCTGCAGCCGCTTGTCTTTAATTTAGTCCTATCCTGAGGCCACTCAAAATAAGCAAAGGGGTAAACTTGTTTGCTTAATTATTTAGTCAAATGCAAATGAATTTCTGTCTGCCTTTGTGACCCATGTGAACACCGGCTCTCAAGTGCTGCACACCGAAATTCGAGTTAGTTTTTAATCAAATTAGTCGAGCACAATGCGACAATTAGCAGACGAAGATTGAATGCTCTCTCAAGAACTTGAGACTTAAATATATCATTTATTATTATATAATATACATATTTTATCATTATTATAATTGAAAAATAGAAAAATAAAAAACAAAAGAAACTAATAATTCAGCTTGCAATAGTCGAAAATATGCAGTTTAAGGTCAGTAAAATTTAAATTTATTTCGAGTACTAATAGTGCCCTAACTGACAAGTCTGCAGGCAGTCTAACCTCACGTTTTAAATATGCCAACTCTGCTAAAATAGCTGACTACGCTGAAAATCCTTTTACACAAACAACATTTTTTGTTGGTCTATGAGAGAGGGGAGTGTGGCAGTGTGTATCGCTGTGTGTGTGTGTTTGTTGTCTGTCAAAGATTTGCAATTTTGTAGTGTGAAATTTATGGGCAGACGTTAAAGATAAACGTGCTGTCATTGATTAACGAGTGCTTGTCGGGCATTGCTGGCCATGGGTCGGAGAAATAACCGCACAGCAGCCACAACGTGAAGTTCAGGTTGTGTTTTTCGGTATGGTACGATGTTTAGGAAAATATTTTGAGTGGAAATGATTGCGCCGAAAACTTAAAAGATAAAACTCTGGCAAAACGGAAGCGCACATAAATCAGTTAGTAAATGTGACTTCCTACTTTTGTCGAATACTTGACGCGCAACAGGGAGGCAGAAACAGGACGTCTGTCCTCTCCTGTCCTGTTCCGGCCTGTGCTGGTGTGACCTAGCCTAGCCTAGGTCGGACCTAAGTGCTGCATGAACGCAAAAGGTAAAAAGACCAAAGTCCAAATGCAGCCAAATGGGGGTTCTTACTGTGCAGGAGGCTTGTGTGGCTTGGCTTAACAGCAAGGAAGTAAGAGGGAGACACAACGCAGGATGCTGGATGGTCACAGGAGGCAGGACGCAGGACGCAGAACTCTAAAGGAGTGCTCATAGATTGGCAACATTTGATGGCAAAAGTTACGTTCGCATTTATCTTTCGTGCAAGTGTCACTTGTGAGTTTCTTGAACCACAGCCAAAGCGAATAGTGCCGAAGATAAGGACTAGGATAGCATAAGACTAGCAGAGCGAGAGGTAGAGCAACAACAACACAAACATCACGTACTACTCCTGCAAAAACAACAAGAACAACAAGGATTACAAAGTGGCAAAGATTCAATGTTAAATATTGTGCCACAACCTTTAAAATTGACTTTAAAAATTGACGTTGACAAATGAGCTGCTGCAGTGTCGGCTTCGGCTTCAGCAACGGCACCGACACCGACACCGGCACCGGAACAGGAACAGGAACACGAACTACTCAACACCGCATTCATTAAACAATTGCTGTACTCAAAATGCAGAGGCTTAATTGTTGATAATTAAGCACTCAGCAGCCGAGCTTAAATGCTCGATAAAAGCCATCGAACAATGCAGCAGTTCCCTTTGACTTTTATCGATTGTCGCAATTAAATTGTTGCGGCTCCTTGTGCCATGCAGTAAATGGCCCATAAATGCTATTATCAATCATTTGGGATTTTCTTAATGAATTTACGAATAAGTTAAATTTACTCCAATGTGCACACAACTAAGCAACAACTATATGAATGTAAACTTAAATTATTGTCAAGATGCGAAATATGATTTCTAAATTATTCCTATTTTTGCGAAACATCGAGTTGTATTCAACAAATTTCAAAAGTGTGAAAGCTTATGTAGGAAACTCTCTTGATTCTATCTAATAGAAGTATTATTCGTTCGCTTCTCGAATGGAAACACTTCACGAAGTCCTTTTAAATCGATAGCAATGGGAAAGCTATCGATTATTTATCGATTCACACTTTGGCTTTTCCTCACTCCCACACTCGCCCTAGCCGAACTACCGCAATTGATTCACCTGCTGCGTCGTTAATTTCCGCTGCCTCAGGCGCAGCTCGCAGCAGCCGTTGTTAAGTTTTCTTCCGTTCTTGCCAATTTGCATGCATGACATGGTAATTCCCAGTCGCAGGTCCTCCCTGGGCACCCAGGCCCCAGTGGGTAATTGTGTTGCATCGATGTAATGACAAAATGTTACAACTCGAGCCCAGCGTTTGCCATTTACGCGGTGCGTTGACAAATTGGCTGTCGCTGCCGCAGATGTTATTGTTGGTCTACCTGTTATTGTTGTCGTTGTTGTGCAGGCGCGTGTGTGGCGTTTGTAAGTGGGCGTGTATGTGGCAATAGTGGGCGCTTTGAACTTCATGTTTATGTTTCCACCTCCTCGCACACGCACACACACGCAATAGCTTTTGTGTGCTTTGATTTATGTGGCTTTAAATAATTTACAATCAAGCGTTTGACAGTAGTGCCAACTCCTTGTAGACGAGCATCTAGGATTGCCAGCTAAGCGTAAATTATGGCTATGTATTTCACGGTGTTCAGATTATCCAAACAACCGCGACAAGCTTGACTCCATTCAATTTATTAGCTTATCAAATTTATCAGCTTTCTAGAATTAACTATGCCCTATTTTATTATAAGACTGCAAAACATATCAAGATAAGATTGCAATACAATACAAAATTAAATAAATATATGTATGAATAACATGCTCAACAGATACTCAACTTTGAACTTATTGCAATTAGAAAAGTTTAATAAAGGTACGCTTTCCAATCTAATAAGCATTTGAGTTCTGAGGCTTAGCTACATTTTCTTAGTTAACGCACTTGCACATTGTCTCTGCTGATTATCATAATAAAGCGACAGCAGCATCAGCAGCAGTCAGTGTTGTAAATGAGACATTGCTATACTGTGTTGCGACATTACGTGATGGCAACACGTCGTATGCGCAATATTAATTATTCAATGCGTGGCGTGCAGTTAGGTAGGGCAAAGGGAAACTTTTAGTGCTCTATCTCTGTCTCTCACTCTATCCCTCTCAACTCTGGCCTGCGCTTTGAATTTAAAGTTGAATCCTGAGACAAACACGCGATGCGGCAATAAACGTGCAATTTTCTCAAAATTACAAAAATGTGAGCAAACATTTTATTTGCGCTTTTAACTTTGTTGCCAGTTGCCAGTCGCCAGTTCCAAGTTGCCTGGCATAAATCTTTTTGCAATTCCTACAGCCAGCTGCCTGCGCTTTTATTTTCATTTCATTCTGCCTGCTTTCCCTACACATGTATACGTATATGTGTATACATATCTTCCTGTTCTTCTTGGTTATTTTCTTGTTGCGTGTTGCAGTGACAAGAATTTGAATAATTCGCCAAATGTGCCAAGTTGAAATGTTAAAATTCGCATCGACTCTGGCCTCACGAGCCAACCGGATGTTGGCAAGCGTCTGGCTGCTTCCTGTTTGGAATATAACCGAAAGTCACGACTGCCAAATGATTGCAAATGAACGACACCAGTCGCCCTTCGGGGCGTGGCACCGCTTCAGATTTTGTTGTTGTTGTTGCCCCTTGCTTAGTTTAATGCATCGTTAAATTTATAGCCGCAGCACAAAAAATTATTTAACGCAATTTCGCTAATGTGTGTCGCGGGCATAAACATCAGAGTCTAAAAAAAAGGACTCAAAGGAAAGATGTAGATGTTAACAAAGGCTGTAGCTCATTAAAACAAAAGGAATGCCTCTCAAACGACTGGCTTAATTTTTTTAACGTCAGCATAAGTAGTTGA